CTCCGCCTCCCACCTCCTCCGCCTCCCACCTCCTCCCCCTCCCACCTCCTCCGCCCTCCCACCTCCTCCCCCTCCCACCTCCTCCCCCTCCCACCTCCTCCCCCTCCCACCTCCTCCCCCTCCCACCTCCTCCCCCTCCCACCTCCTCCCCCTCCCACCTCCTCCCCCTCCCACCTCCTCCGCCTCCCACCTCCTCCCCCTCCACCTCCTCCCCCTCCCACCTCCTCCCGCCTCCCACTCCTCCGCCTCCCACCTCCTCCGCCTCCCACCTCCTCCGCCTCCCACCTCCTCCGCCTCCCACCTCCTCCCCTCCACCTCCTCCCCCTCCCCTCCTCCCCCTCCCACCTCCTCCCCCTCCCACCTCCTCCCCCCTCCCACCTCCTCCGCCTCCCACCTCCTCCGCCTCCCACCTCCTCCGCCTCCCACCTATCCTCCGCCTCCCACCTCCTCCGCCTCCCACCTCCTCCGCCTCCCACCTCCTCCGCCTCCCACCTCCTCCGCCTCCCACCTCCTCCGCCTCCCACCTCCTCCGCCTCCCACCTCCTCCGCCTCCCACCTCCTCCGCCTCCCACCTCCTCCGCCTCCCACCGCCTCCGCCTCCCACCTCCTCCGCCTCCCACCTCCTCCGCCCTCCCACCTCCTCCCCTCCCACCTCCTCCGCCTCCCACCTCCTCCGCCTCCACCTCCTCCGCCTCCCACCTCCTCCGCCTCCCACCTCCTCCGCCTCCCACCTCCTCCGCCTCCACCTCCTCCGCTCACTCCTCCGCCTCCCCTCCTCCGCCTCCCACCTCCTCCGCCTCCCACCTCCTCCGCCTCCCACCATCCTCCGCCTCCCACCTCTCCGCCTCCACCTCCTCCGCCTCCCACCTCCTCCGCCATCCCACCTCCTCCGCCTCCCACCTCCTCCGCCTCCCACCTCCTCCGCCTCCCACCTCCTCCGCCTCCCACCTCCTCCGCCTCCCCCTCCTCCGCCTCCCACCTCCTCCGCCTCCCACCTCCTCCGCCTCCCACCTCCTCCGCCTCCCCACCTCCTCCGCCTCCCACCTCCTCCGCCTCCCACTCTCTCCGCCTCCCACCTCCTCCGCCTCCCACCTCCTCCGCCTCCCACCTCCTCCGCCTCCCACCTCCTCCGCCTCCCACCTCCTCCGCCTCCCACCTCCTCCGCCTCCCACCTCCTCCGCCTCCACACTCCTCCGCCTCCCACCTCCTCCGCCTCCCACCTCCTCCGCCTCCCACCTCCTCCGCCTCCCACCTCCTCCGCCTCCACCTCCTCCGCCTCCTCCGCCTCCCACCTCCTCCGCCTCCCACCTCCTCCGCCTCCCACCTCCTCCGCCTCCCACCTCCTCCGCCTCCCACCTCCTCCGCCTCCCACCTCCTCCGCCCCTCCCACCTCCTCCGCCTCCCACCTCCTCCGCCTCCCACCTCCTCCGCCTCCCACCTCCTCCGCCTCCCACCTCCTCCGCCTCCCACCTCCTCCGCCTCCCACCTCCTCCGCCTCCCACCTCCTCCGCCTCCCACCTCCTCCGCCTCCCACCCTCCTCCGCCTCCCACCTCCTCCGCCTCCCACCTCCTCCGCCTCCCCCTCCTCCGCCTCCCACCTCCTCCGCCTCCCACCTCCTCCCCCTCCCACCTCCTCCGCCTCCCACCTCCTCCGCCTCCCACCTCCTCCGCCTCCCACCTCCTCCCCCTCCCACCTCCTCCCCCTCCCACCTCCTCCCCCTCCCACCTCCTCCCCCTCCCACCTCCTCCCCCTCCCACCTCCTCCGCCTCCCACCTCCTCCCCCTCCCACCTCCTCCCCCTCCCACCTCCTCCGCCTCCCACCTCCTCCCCCTCCCACCTCCTCCCCCTCCCACCTCCTCCGCCTCCCACCTCCTCCCCCTCCCACCTCCTCCGCCTCCCACCTCCTCCCCTCCCACCTCCTCCCCTCCCACCTCCTCCCCCTCCCACCTCCTCCCCCTCCCACCTCCTCCCCCTCCCACCTCCTCCCCTCCCACCTCCTCCGCCTCCCACCTCCTCCCCTCCCACCTCCTCCGCCTCCCACCTCCTCCCCCTCCCACCTCCTCCCCCTCCCACCTCCTCCCCCTCCCACCTCCTCCCCCTCCCACCTCCTCCCCCTCCCACCTCCTCCCCCTCCCACCTCCTCCGCCTCCCACCTCCTCCGCCTCCCACCTCCTCCCACTCCACCTCCTCCCCCTCCCACCTCCTCCCCCTCCCACCTCCTCCCCCTCCCACCTCCTCCCCCTCCCACCTCCTCCCCCTCCCACCTCCTCCGCCTCCCACCTCCTCCCCCTCCCACCTCCTCCCCCTCCCACCTCCTCCGCCTCCCACCTCCTCCCCCTCCCACCTCCTCCCCCTCCCACCTCCTCCGCCTCCCACCTCCTCCCCCTCCCACCTCCTCCCCCTCCCACCCTCCTCCCCCCTCCCACCTCCTCCGCCTCCCACCTCCTCCCCCTCCCACCTCCTCCCCCTCCCACCTCCTCCGCCTCCCACCTCCTCCCCCTCCCACATCCTCCGCCTCCCACCTCCTCCCCCTCCCACCTCCTCCCCTCCCACCTCCTCCCCCTCCCACCTCCTCCCCCTCCCACCTCCTCCCCCTCCCACCTCCTCCCCCTCCCACCTCCTCCCGCCTCCCACCTCCTCCCCCTCCCACCTCCTCCCCCTCCCACCTCCTCCGCCTCCCACCTCCTCCCCCTCCCACCTCCTCCGCCTCCCACCTCCTCCGCCTCCCACCTCCTCCGCCTCCCACCTCCTCCCCCTCCCACCTCCTCCCCCTCCCACCTCCTCCGCCTCCCACCTCCTCCCCCTCCACACCTCCTCCCCCTCCCACCTCCTCCGCCTCCCACCTCCTCCGCCTCCCACCTCCTCCCCCTCCCACCTCCTCCGCCTCCCACCTCCTCCCCCTCCCACCTCCTCCCCCCTCCCACCTCCTCCCCCTCCCACCTCCTCCCCCTCCCACCTCCTCCCCCTCCCACCTCCTCCCCCTCCCACCTCCTCCCCCTCCCACCTCCTCCCCCTCCCACCTCCTCCGCCTCCCACCTCCTCCCCCTCCCACCTCCTCCCCCTCCCACCTCCTCCGCCTCCCACCTCCTCCGCCTCCCACCTCCTCCGCCTCCCACCTCCTCCGCCTCCCACCTCCTCCGCCTCCACCTCCTCCCCCTCCACCTCCTCCCCCTCCCACCTCCTCCGCCTCCCACCTCCTCCCCCTCCCACCTCCTCCCCCTCCCACCTCCTCCGCCTCCCCCTCCACCTCCTCCGCCTCCCACCTCCTCCGCCTCCCACCTCCTCCGCCTCCCACCTCCTCCCCTCCACCTCTCCTCCGCCTCCCACCTCCTCCCCCTCCCACCTCCTCCCCCGCCCACCTCCTCCCCCTCCCACCTCCTCCCCCTCCACCCTCCTCCCCCTCCCACCTCCTCCGCCCTCCCACCTCCTCCCCCTCCCACCTCCTCCCCCTCCCACCTCCTCCGCCTCCCACCTCCTCCCCCTCCCACCTCCTCCCCCTCCACCTCCTCCGCCTCCACCTCCTCCGCCTCCCACCTCCTCCGCCTCCCACCTCCTCCGCCTACCTCCCACCTCCTCCGCCTCCCACCTCCTCCCCTCCCACCTCCTCCCCCTCCCACCTCCTCCGCCTCCCACCTCCCTCCCCCTCCCACCTCCTCCCCCTCCCACCTCCTCCGCCTCCCACCTCCTCCGCCTCCCACCTCCTCCGCCTCCCACCTCCTCCGCCTCCCACCTCCTCCGCCTCCCACCTCCTCCGCCTCCCACCTCCTCCGCCTCCCACCTCCTCCGCCTCCCACCTCCTCCGCCTCCCACCTCCTCCGCCTCCCACCTCCTCCGCCTCCCACCTCCTCCGCCTCCCACCTCCTCCGCCTCCCACCTCCTCCGCCTCCCACCTCCTCCGCCTCCCACCTCCTCCGCCCTCCCACCTCCTCCGCCTCCCACCTCCTCCGCCTCCCACCTCCTCCGCCTCCCACCTCCTCCGCCTCCCACCTCCTCCGCCTCCCACCTCCTCCGCCTCCCACCTCCTCCGCCTCCCACCTCCTCCGCCTCCCACCTCCTCCGCCTCCCACCTCCTCCGCCTCCCACCTCCTCCGCCTCCCACCTCCTCCGCCTCCCACCTCCTCCGCCTCCCACCTCCTCCGCCTCCCACCTCCTCCGCCTCCCACCTCCTCCGCCCTCCCACCTCCTCCCGCCTCCCACCTCCTCCGCCTCCCACCTCCTCCGCCTCCCACCTCCTCCGCCTCCCACCTCCTCCGCCTCCCACCTCCTCCGCCTCCCACCTCCTCCGCCTCCCACCTCCTCCGCCTCCCACCTCCTCCCGCCTCCCACCTCCTCCGCCTCCCACCTCCTCCGCCTCCCACCTCCTCCGCCTCCCACCTCCTCCGCCTCCCACCTCCTCCGCCTCCCACCTCCTCCGCCTCCCACCTCCTCCGCCTCCCACCTCCTCCGCCTCCCACCTCCTCCGCCTCCCACCTCCTCCGCCTCCCACCTCCTCCGCCTCCCACCTCCTCCGCCTCCCACCTCCTCCGCCTCCCACCTCCTCCGCCTCCCACCTCCTCCCCCTCCCACCTCCTCCGCCTCCCACCTCCTCCGCCTCCCACCTCCTCCGCCTCCCACCTCCTCCGCCTCCCACCTCCTCCGCCTCCCACCTCCTCCGCCTCCCACCTCCTCCGCCTCCCACCTCCTCCGCCTCCCACCTCCTCCCCCTCCCACCTCCTCCCCCTCCCACCTCCTCCCCCTCCCACCTCCTCCCCCTCCCACCTCTCCCCCTTTCCTGTTCTCTTCACTACTCAGGTTGCGGTGTTGAGTGTAGACACGTCGACAATAGGCGAGTGGTGCGACAGCCTGCTGGAGACTCTTTTTCCGTCAACCCCTGCTTTCCCCTCTCTCTCTCCCTCTTGCTCTCTCCTGCCCTTCTCATGCCACCAGGTTGCAGTGTTGAGTGTCGACACGTCGACAATAGGCGAGTGGTGTGACAGCCTGGTGGAAACATTGTTGAAGTATGGACCGGATGACAAGGAGAAGCGGCTGCTGCGGGTGAGATGCGTGTGTGCGTGCGGTGCAGGGTGGTGTTTGGTGGATGTATGTGTGTGGCTTGTGGTGTGACAGCCTGGTGGAGACTCTGCTCAAGTACGGCCCGGATGACAAAGAGAAGCGGCTGCTGCGGGTGAGTCACTTATGTGGAGGTGTATTGTATAGGATAGCATAGGGGGGTGGCAGATACACGTTCCAGTGGGTGCACGTGTGTGGCAAATGGTGCGAGTGGTGCAGCAGCCTGGTGGAGACTCTGTTGAAATATGATCCAGACGACAAGGAGAAGCGGCTGCTGAGGGTGAGACGCATGTGACCTAGTGTGCACGTGTGTGTAGTAGGAGGGAGGGGGTGTATGTGCATGGGGCACATGCATGTATGTAGGGCGCATGTGTGGTGCGAGTGGTGTGACAGCCTGGTGTAGACTCTGCTCAAGTACGGCCCTGACGACAAGGAGAAGCGGCTGCTGAGGGTGAGATGAGATGAGACCTACTGTGTGCATGTGTCTAGGGCGCACGTGCATGGGCGCATGTGTGGTGCGAGTGGTGTGACAGCCTGGTGGGGTCTCTGCTCAAGTACGGCCCAGACGACAAGGAGAAGCGGCTGCTGCGGGTGAGACGCACCTGGTTTAGGTCTATAGGGTGCATGCATGCATGTGTGTGCGTGCATGTGTGGACGTGTGGGTAGCATAGTGGTGGGACAGCCTGTTGGAAACTCTGTTGAAGTATGGCCCTGACGACAAGGAGAAGCGGCTGCTGAGGGTGGGATGAGATCCAGTGTGCGCATGTGTGAAACACGCCCCTCCCTCCACTTCCGCCTTCCTCCCTCCGCCCATTTCCCCCCTCCTCCCCCCTTTCCTCGCCCCACTTCCTTTGGCAGGAGTTTAAGGGGAATGTGGAGGATTTGGGTCCGTGCGAACAGGTGTGTGCTGGGGAAGGTTGGTAGTGAGAGAGATAGGTGCGAGCACATGAGATTCCGAGAAAGGTGGGTTCTGAGGAAGGTAGGTACTGAGGAAGGAGGGAAGGAGATAGAGAGAATGGTTTGATTGATTCTCCTTCTTTCCCTGCAGCGGCTTCATGTGCCGCTAAGAGAATGCAGCGATTGCACAGAAATCTCCCATCTTTCCCTCATCAAGCACATCCCTAAACTTTCCCCTCATCCCCAATTGTCTCCCTCTTCCCCCATTTCCTCATTTTTGAACCACTCTCCATCCCCCCCATCTCAACAACTCCTTCCCCCTCTCCCCTCCTCTCCCCACATCCCCACATCCCCCCACCCCCCCTTACCCCCCATCCCCCCACCCCTCTTTGCAGTTGTTCCGCGCATTGCTGGGGGTGCAGCGGCTGGAGCCAAAGCTCAAGGTGCTGCAGTACAGAGTTTTCTCACTCCCCCCCTTTTCCCTCGTCTTCCCCCTCTCTCCACCTGCAGCTGTTCCGCGCATTGCTGGGGGTGCAGCGGCTGGAGCCAAAGCTCAAGGTGCTGCAGTACCGGATATTCCTGGCAGAGCGGGTGAGTGGAGTGGAGGCGAGAGAATCGGTAGGCGTGTGGGTGTTTGTGTGGACATGGGTTAGGTCGGCTGAACCGGTGCAGCGGCTGGAGCTGAAGCTCAAGGTGCTGCAGTACCGGATATTCCTGGCAGAGCGGGTGAGTGGGTGGAAGGGGAGTGAGTGGGTGTAGGGTGTAGGGTAAGAAGCTTTGCACTGAGTTTAGAGCTGGATAGAGTCTCTTGAGTGCTGCTGGGGGTACGGAGACTGGAGCCCCAGCTCAAGGTGTTGCAGTACAGGATATTCCTGGCTGAGCGGGTGAGTTATGGTGGGTGTTTGTTTGTACAAGCGGGTGTGGGTGCATGAATGCTGCTGGAGGTGCAGCGGCAGGAGCCAAAGCTCAAGGTGCTGCTGTTAGTACAGAATCTTCCTGTTATTCCTGTCAGAGCAGGTGATTGTCAGAATCTTCCATTCCAGGAGGAAAGTGAGAAGCAGGAGATTGATCCTCCCATTCCTGGTGTGTTTTGAGTCGACTCAAAACACTCCTCCCATTCCTGCTTCTCACAATCCCCTTCATCTTCCCTCCCCCGCCTCCCTCTCCACATCCACCAGGCACCAGAGCTTGCAGACACGATCAAGTTCGTCACCCTTGTCCTCCCCTGCCTCTCCCCGCTTTCTTCCACTTCCCTCTCCCTGCCACTTCCCTCGTCCTGCCTCTCTCCCTCCATCCACCAGGCACCAGAGCTTGCGGACACAATCAAGTTCGTCACCCTGGTCTCACAAAAGGTGGAGTCCACACCATGCTTGATCCTCTCTCCTCCCTTCCGTTCCTGCCTTGTCTGTTGTGCTCCCTCTCCCGCCTCCCCCATCCACCAGGCACCAGAGCTTGCGGACACGATCAAGTTCGTTACTCTTGTCTCACAAAAGGTGGGCACTTCGTCTTTCATTTCCTATCAAATTCACTTCCTTCCCCCTTGCCCCATCCCTGCCTGTATATACGATATGTACGATGTATGCTCATGCTTTCTCAAACCCACCAGCCACTCCTGTTGCTCTTTCCCCCCTCCCCCACCTAGCCCCCCCACCCCCCTCCCCCGCCCCCCGCTCCGTCCCCCTTTCTCGTGCAATTCACCCCCCTTCGCTTCTTCTCTCTGTGTTTGTCGCCCCAAAATCTCGCAGATACAAGAGTCTCAGAAGCTGCAGCACGTGCTGCTGGTGGTGCGAGATATTGGCAACAAACTTAATGAGGGCACCAAGAAGGGTGAGCAATGGGTGGTATTCGACTGAAATCTGGGTGGTGTTATCATATTGTACCATATTGATAGTGTTGGGTGGTAACAGTATCATATTGTATCATATTGTATCTACAGTATCATGATGAACTTTTGGGTGCAGGGAGCTGGTATTCTGCGCTTCTGACTCGACTCAAAAGTCGATGTTTGGGTGGTACCTTATGTATGATGGAGGAACGATTGGGTGCAAAAGGCCAGTACGGTGCCAAGTAGACTTTTGAGGCGCCTCAAAAGTCGCCTAAAAAACCGCCTCAATGTTTCGTTGGTACAGTGCCGTATTGTATGATGGAGGAACGATTGGGTGCAAAAGGCCAGCACGTTGCAGAGAAGGAGCTGCTGCTGCTGCTGCTGCTGCTGCTGCTGCTGCTGCTGCTGCATGAATCTATCTCTCTATCCCTTTCTTTCTTTCTCTTCTGTTTTCCTTGTTTCTGTGTTATCCTGCGTGCCATGGGTAGTTTTAGTAACATATCAAATTTTGTTCCTGTTGTTTCCATGTGTGCCGTGTGTGTTTGCTGATGTGACAGGCAAGGTGGTGGGGTTTGCAGCCAACGATCTGAACAAGGTGGCCAACACCAAGGGCTTCATGGCGTACCTCATTAAGGTACGTGTGTGTGTGTGGTTGTGTGTGTGTGGTCGCTGCATGCTTGGTACAGTGCTTGGTGTATGTATGAATGGCCTTCTTGCAAGGTGGTGGGGTTTGCAGCCAACGATCTGAACAAGGTGGCCAACACCAAGGGCTTCATGGCGTACCTCATTAAGGTGAGTGGTGAATATACACTATATAAGGTGCTTCTTTATACAAGGTGGCCAACACCAAGGGCTTCATGGCGTACCTCATTAAGGTGCGCCTATAATAATACACTATAAACATATACGCTAAAAACATATACACCATACATACAAGTTGCAGTTGATGTCTCATTGTATGAACAAGGTGGCCAACACCAAGGCTTCATGGCCCACCTCATCAAGGTGTGTTATACATACAAAATTTATGTATACAATGTAGTAGAATATAACAGAATGCGATGTATTGAAATGTTGTATTCTGTTCTGTTGTATAATATCATATAGTAAAAGAAAACAATGCAGGTTCTGAGCAAGTGCCGTCCCGAGTGGCTCTACTTCTGGAAGGTCTCCACTGACCGGGCTGTTCACTTTCACGCCAGTCTTCACCACTTGTTCACTTTCCCCCGTCCCCTCTGTCCTGTCCTCCACTGTCAACCCCACCATCCAGGTGCTGAGCGAGTGCCGCCCCAAGTGGCTCTACTTCTGGAAGGACTTCACAGACGGGTCTCTCCCCTCCTCCCCGTCCCCTCCTTGTATCATATGACTCTCCACTTGCTCACTCTCCCCTCCTCCCCGTCCCCTCCTTGTATCATATGACTCTCCACTTGCTCACTCTCCCCTCCTCCCCGTCCCCTCCTTGTATCATATGACTCTCCACTTGCTCACTCTCCCCTCCTCCCCGTCCCCTCCTTGTATCATATGACTCTCCACTTGCTCACTCCTCCCCCCTCTCTTCCACAACCGTCAACCCCCCTCTGCCCCCCTCCTCTGCAGGTGCTGAGCGAGTGCCGTCCTGAGTGGCTCTACTTCTGAAAGGACTTCACAGACTGGCTGTTTACTGTGCCACTGTCGTCACCACAGTCACTTGTACCCCTTGCTCCTTCCTCTCCTCCCTCCCACTGTTACCCTGCTTTCAGGTGCTTAGTCAGTGTCGGCCCGAGTGGCTCTACTTCTGGAAAGACTTCACTGACGGGTCTCGGAATCTGCTCAACGAGGCAATTAAGGTGAGGTAATCGAGTAGGGGTTAGGCTAATCCTGACCTTGGCTGACCCAAGAGGGCACCCTGGCTGACCCAAGAGGGCACCCTGGCTGACCCAAGAGGGCACCCTGGCTGACCCAAGAGGCACCTTTTCCCGAGTGGCTCTACTTCTGGAAGGATTTCACTGACGGGTCTCGGAACCTCCTGAATGAAGCGATCAAGGTGAGCTGATTGTGTGTGTGGGGGGTAACCACACCCTGACCTTACCCGAGCTGACCTGAGAGGGCACCTTGGCCCGAGTGGCTCTACTTCTGGAAGGACTTCACCGATGGGTCTCGGAATCTGCTCAACGAGGCAATCAAGGTGAGCTGATCGAGTAGGGGTTAGGCTATTCTGACCCTGGCTGACCTGAGAGGGCACCTTGGCCCCGAGTGGCTTTACTTCTGGAAGGACTTCACCGATGGGTCTCGGAATCTGCTCAACGAGGCAATCAAGGTGAGCTGATCGAGTAGGGGTTAGGCTATTCTGACCCTGGCTGACCTGAGAGGGCACCTTGGCCCCGAGTGGCTTTACTTCTGGAAGGACTTCACCGATGGGTCTCGGAATCTGCTCAACGAGGCAATCAAGGTGAGCTGATCGAGTAGGGGTTAGGCTATTCTGACCCTGGCTGACCTGAGAGGGCACCTTGGCCCCGAGTGGCTTTACTTCTGGAAGGACTTCACCGATGGGTCTCGGAATCTGCTCAACGAGGCAATCAAAGTGAGCTGATCGAGTAGGGGTTAGGCTATTCTGACCCTGGCTGACCTGAGAGGGCACCTTGGCCCCGAGTGGCTTTACTTCTGGAAGGACTTCACCGATGGGTCTCGGAATCTGCTCAACGAGGCAATCAAGGTGAGCTGATCGAGTAGGGGTTAGGCTATTCTGACCCTGGCTGACCTGAGAGGGCACCTTGGCCCCGAGTGGCTTTACTTCTGGAAGGACTTCACCGATGGGTCTCGGAATCTGCTCAACGAGGCAATCAAGGTGAGCTGATCGAGTAGGGGTTAGGCTATTCTGACCCTGGCTGACCTGAGAGGGCACCTTGGCCCCGAGTGGCTTTACTTCTGGAAGGACTTCACTGATGGGTCTCGGAATCTGCTCAACGAGGCAATCAAGGTGAGCTGGTTGTGTGGGAGTTAGGCTATGCCTGACCCTGGCTGACCTGAAAGTGCACCTTCCCCTGGGTGTCTCTGCTTCTAGAAAACTTCTCTGAGGGTTCTCGGAATGTGCTCAACAAGGCAATTAAGGTGAGCGAGCTGATTGTGTGGGGGTGACTGACGCTGACTGACTGGGTCAGTCAGCGTCGGCTACACACCCTGACGCTGACTGACCCAGGACGGCGCTTTGGCTTGGCCCGAGTGGCTCTACAAGGAAGGACTTCACCGACGGGTCTCGGAATCTGCTGAAAGAGGCAATTAAGGTGAGCTCAGTTCATTTCAATTAAAGTAACCTCTTGGGACTTTTCCAAAACGGTCTTACTGTTGTAAGGCTTTCTGAGTAAGCAGGCGATTAATGATAGCTGAGTTCGCTTCACCTTTTGAGACTTTTACAAAAGGGTTCACCGTTTTAAAACCTTCTAAGCGGGCGATCAAGGTGAGCTGCGTTCATTTCACCTTCTGGTGAAGCTGGTCAGAGAGAGGATTTTCTCTCAGGCCGTGTTTCTGTGCTCTCCCTCTCCCTCATCCGTTGCAGGTGGATCAAAAGGGATTGGCGGAGGTTGTTGGGGAGTTGGATAGAGAGAAGGTGCTTGTGGAGCGAGAGTTGAAGGAGTGTGAGACAGAGGGAAAGTGCTGTAGATTCTAAGTCGGTGCTTCTCTGCTTTTCCTTTCTCCCATCCCTTGCAGGTGGATCAGAAGGGACTGGCGGAGGTGGTAAGGGAGCTGGACGTAGGGAAGGTGCTTGTGGAAAGGGAGTTGAAGGAGTGTGAGAAGATGGCCGAGGAGGAGAAGAAGAAGGAGGAGGAGAAGGAGAAGAAATCTCAAGAGGGGGAGAAAGGGGAGGGGGAGAAGGAGGAGAGTAAGGAGGTTGACGGGAAGGAAGGGGAGGGGGAGAAGGGCGATGGAGGGAAGAGCGGAGAGGGTGAGAAGGGGGAAGAGGAGGAGAAAAAGGAGGAGAAAAAGGAGGAGGAGAAGAAGGAGAAGGAGAAGGAGAAGAAGGAGGAGGAGAAGCGGGAGGAGGAGGCACTGCCGTTGAAGCATGTGGACACTTATCGGGCCATGCAGCTGTTTTACGATGAAGATGTGGTTAGATGGCACGGCAACGTGCACAGCCTCATGGGTGACATGGTGAGTGCTCCCTCCCATTATGATTTTTACTTATGAGAATTCTCAAAAGTAAAATTCGCATAGTCTCATGGGTGACATGGTGAGAGCTCCCTCCCATTATGCTTTTTGAGGCGCCTCAAAAATAGTCTCATGGGGGACATGGTGAGCGCTCCCTCCCATTATGCCATATCTCTCCTGTTTTGATTGTGGGCTGGGCTGAGGAGGAGGTGTTGCCGTTGAAGCATGCGGACACACACCAGTGGAGCCATGCAGCTGTTTTATGAAGAGGATGTTGTGAGATGGCATGCCAGCGTGCATAGCCTCATGGGTGACATGGTGAGATAAGTCCCATATCGCCTCGTGACATGGTGACATAAGTCCCATATCGCCTCGTGACATGGTGACATAAGTCTCATATCGCCTTGTGACATGGTGACATAAGTCCCATATCGTCTCGTGACATGGTGACATAAGTCCCATATCGCCTCGTGACATGGTGACATAAGTCCCATATCGCCTCGTGACATGGTGAGAGAAGTCCCATATCGCCTCGTGACATGGTGACATAAGTCCCATATCGCCTCGTGACATGGTGACATAAGTCTCATATCGCCTCGTGACATGGTGACATAAGTCCCATATCGCCTCGTGACATGGTGACATAAGTCCCATATCGCCTCGTGACATGGTGAAAGAAGTCCCATATCGCCTCGTGACATGGTGACATAAGTCCCATATCGCCTCGTGACATGGTGACATAAGTCTCATATCGCCTCGTGACATGGTGACATAAGTCCCATATCGCCTCGTGACATGGTGACATAAGTCCCATATCGCCTCGTGACATGGTGACATAAGTCCCGTATCGCCTCGTGACATGGTGACATAAGTCCCTGAAAGAATCTCAAGTGTTTTATTGATTAGAAAGAGTGTCGGTACATATAGGAGATGAGAAGTTTTGGGAACGAAGTGGGGTACCCTCAGCATTTATTGGTGGACCAATCAGATTGGGTCGACCAACAATTGCTGGGGTAACCAACAATCGTTGGAGGGGACCATTATTGGCCCCCCCCCGTCAATTGCGGTCGAGTTGGGTTTGGGGGCGCCCAACCAAAATTGGTTGGGTCGCCTTGACCCAAAGTGTACACCCACTTTAGGGTGTAACACATGCACAAATATAAACATACATTATGCTATATTCTAACACAACCCCGTAGCATAAGAGGTTTATAAGTGTGCACAACCCCGGAATCATGAAGCCGGGGAGAGGCCAAGAAGGCGAAGGAAGGCCCGGTGGGCTAGCTTCGGAAGAGCTTTGGTGAAAATGTCAGCGAGGTTGGCTTCGGCGGCAATTTTTCGGACGGCAAGATGGCCTTGCTGGACAAGATCGCGAATGTAGAAGTAGCGTAGTTCGATGTGTTTGGAGCGCCCGTGGAAGACCGGATTCTTGGTGAGGTGGATCGTGCTGGCGTTGTCGCACCAGAGCGTGGGGCATGGCTGGGGGGCCCCAAGCTCGGCTAGCAAGAAGGAAAGCCAGCGTCCTTCCTGCGCAGCCATGGTACCAGCATAGAGTTCGGCTTCACAAGATGAGAGGGCGATGGCGGAGGAGCGGGTGGAGCGCCAGCTGACCAAGCCGCTACCGAGCGTGAAGCCATATCCTTGGGAAGAGCGGCGATCCGGCTGAGAGTCTGCCCAAGACGAGTCACTGAAGCCGGTGAGGAGCGGGGGAGAGGCACCACCAAGGGTGAGAACATGGTCCTGAGTGCCACGGAGGTAGCGTAGGACTCGTTTGGCGGCTCTCCAATGCACGGAGGTGTGACGACCGGTACCGACGAAACGCGCCAGGACGCTGATGGGGTAGGCGAGGTCGGGACGGGTCCCCATCATGGCATACATGATGGAGCCAACCAGTTCCGCATAGGGCTGAGTGGAGGCGGAGGGGGAGGTGGGTGGAGCAAGCCCATGGCCGAATGGAAGGGGAGTGGCCACTGGGTTGGCGAGAGCCATGTCGAACCGCTCCAACACCTGCTGAAGATAGTCGATTGTGATAAGGTGATGGTGCGGGCAGCTCGATCGCGTGTGATCTCCATGCCCAAGTAGTGGCGTAATTCGCCAAGGTCCTTGCACTGGAGACGAGCTTGTAGTTCTTCCTTAACGTCGGTCATGTCGGCGGAGGTGTCGGCGAGGAGCACCATGTCGTCAACATAGACTAGGACGAAGAAGCGGCTGGGACGGGTCCGAATGAAGAGACTGGCGTCAGAGTGAGATGGTTGAAATCCGAGAGCACAGAGTGTAGATGCCAGCTTAGCATGCCATTCCCGAGGAGCCTGCTTCAGGCCGTAGACTGGACGGCGTAGTTCCCAGACAGTGTCTGGTGGGAAGGCTTCATGGAAGCCATCTGGGCGGTCGAGGAAGATTTGTTCGTGGAGGTTCTCCTGAAGAAAAGCGTTAGAGACATCCATTGATGAGATCTCCATGCCGTTGCGGGAGCCAAAGTCGAGAAGCGTGCGAAGGGTCCCGAATTTTGCGGTAGGTGAGAAGGTTTCCCAAATGTCCTTGGCATAGGTCTGTGTGAAGCCCTTGGCGCAGTAACGGGCTTTGTAGACGGGCTCCTCCCCCGGAAGCTGCTTCACCCGGAAGACCCACTTGCCAGCGACAATGTTGGCATCTGGAGGCGGCTTGACATCGACGAAGGAATCATTGCGAATGAAGGCGTCGCACTCCTTGCGAATGGCCTCCAGCCATTTGTCAGCGTCAGGGCACGTGATTGCCTCCTGGAATGTGGTAGGCGTGAAGATGAGAGGTGAGGAGGGAGTGCCAAGTACAACCGCGCCCAAAAGGGCAAGGTACACAGGGTTAAGGGAAGGAACGTGAGTGTGAATGGCACAAAACTCCTCATGGGAGTCTTCATGAATGAGAGGTGGTTGACCAAGAATGGGGTCAAGGGAGCGAGTGTGCATGCGTGGGAGGAGGAAGGGAGAGCGTGAGGTGAGAGAAGTGCGAGGACGTGGGGAGGATGCAGGAGGTGCGGCGGGCGAGGATGGAGGAGGAGAAGCTGGAGGGAGGTGGGTGGGAGGGGAGGGAGGAGGGGGAGAGGGAGGAGGGGGAGCGGTGGAAAGGGCAGGTGAGGCAGCAGGATCATAGATATCAGCCGAGGAAGGTGGAGGTGAGAGTGGAGTAGTTGGGAGGAGTGGAGCAGATGGGAGGAGAGGAGGAAGAAGGGCATCCGCCCAGGTGAGTGGGCGGGAGGGTGGGGGGAGAGGGTCGGAGGGAGGAGGAGAGGAGTAGTAGGGGATGGTTTCATCGAAGACGACATCGCGGCTGCGAATGAGGCGTCCGGAGGGAGGATGAAGGAAGAGGTACCCAGGAGAGCCACGATTGTGGCCGAGGTAGACGCACTCCAATGCTTTGGAGGCAAGTTTTCCTGCTTTGCGGGAACGGTCTGCGGGAGGAATGAGAACAAAGGATTTGCAGCCCCAGACGCGAAGGACGGAGGCATCAGGTTTGGTGTTGCACCAAAGCTCAGTGGGAGTGAGGTTGGGATGGTGGGGGTGAGGGTAGAGGTTGGTGAGAAGGGCGGCATGAGTGAGAGCATAGCCCCAAAGGGAGGGAGGGGTAGATGCATGGGTGAGGAGACAGCGGGCAGTTTTGGTGATCTCACGGATGCGACTTTCAGCTACCCCGTTTTGTTGCGGAGAATGAGGGAGAGTGGACGTCTGTTGAGTGCCATGTGCTTTGCAGTAGGAGGCAATGGTATGGTTGAGAAACTCCCCGCCACCGTCAGAGTGAAGGCGACGGATGGGTCGGCCGAAGTGCACGCGCGCTTGTTCGGCCCAGGCGATGATGACAGCGGCTGCTTCAGCTTTCGTGTGGAGTAGAAACACAGAGGAGTAGCGGCTATGGTCGTCTACGAGGACGAGCATAAAGCGGTGGCCCTGGCGGGAAGGGGAGGGGGAGGGACCCCAGAGGTCCATGTGGACGAGATCTAGGGGAGCAGTAGCAAATGAGGGATGGCTGTGATGGGGTTTTTGTTTGAGTTTGCCATGAATGCAAGTGGGACAAGGAGGAGCTGGTGAGGTGGGTAGGGGAGGAAGGGCAGGGGGGAGCCCATGAAGGAGGCGAGAGGATATTGCGGCACGGAGGGTGGTGAAGTTGGGGTGACCAAGACGGTGATGGAGGAGAATGGCGGGGTGAGAGAGGGAGAGGTCGGGAGAGGTAGAGGGAGTGGGAGATGATGAAGGGGGAGGAGCAATGGTGGGAGAAGGGTAGGTGGAGCGACGGGTGGTGAGATGACATGATGCCGGAAAAGGGAGACGTAGTGTGTAAAGGTGAGTGCGGGGGCAGATTGGGAGGCGATAGACAAGGCGGCCAGTGGAGGTATGAATGAGATCGCAATAGGAAAAGTGGGCAGGAAAAATGGCGGTAATGCCGGCTTTTTGGAGATCATGAAGAGAAATAAGGTTGTGACGAAGAGTGGGAATGTGGAGGCCAGTGATAGTGCCGGAGGGAAAGAGGGGACACGGAAGAGTAGAGGAGTGTGTGCATGGGATCGAGAAGCTAGAATCAGCGCCATGAACAGTGGAGGGGAGAGATAGTGTTTTGAGAATGCCAGCGTCCTTCAGGGCACTGACGGTGGCCCCGCTATCGAGGACAAAGTCCAAGGTGAGCGGGGAAGGAGACGCAGAATACTGGAAGTCACTGTTATTAAGAACAGAGGGATACATGGAGGTGGTGCTAGGCAAGGGAGAAGCTAGCTGACCAAGAAAGCTAGAGTATGACTCAGCTGGGGAGGTATGGGCGGCGGTGGCGGCAGAACCGAAGCCAAGAGGTTGCTGCTGCCAGGCGGCAGTTGCTGCTGCTGCTGCTGCTGCTGCCGCTGCTGTGGCGGCTGCGCCTCCCCCCCCTCCCCAGGGCGGCTGCTGTGGCTGCTGGTGCGGCTGCGGCTGTGAGGGCAGCTGCGGGGGCTGCTGCAACTGCTGTGACTGAAGATGCTGCAAAAACTGCTGGAGTTGCAGTTGAGGAGAGGGAGTGGTGAGGTTAAGGTGGGAGGGTTGATAGAGAGGGAGATGTTGAACATCATGGACAGTGGGACGACTTGCAAGAGCGGACCAGCGGGGGGGGGTACCATGGTTACCACGATCAAACCAGGCATCGTCCAAGACGCCGAAGCAGGTGGTTATGGGGTGGTTGGTTTGACCGCAGGGTTCCCCAGCGCGAGGGCCGTGACGGCGAACGTAGGGGCAGGGGGGGAGTTGACCAGGTCCGCTACCACCACGTCCACTTCCTCCAGGGCCGCCCGTGCAAGAAGGAGTGCGTCCACCAAAGGTGCCACCACGTCCACCACCACGGCCGCCACCACGCCCACCTCCACGTCCGCCACCGCGACCACCACCACGCCCACCACCGCGTGTCTGGGTGGCGTTGAGTTCTGGCGCGGGTGCTTGAGCCGTGTTGAGAGAAGGCGGGTTGGTACGAAGGAGGCGGGTTTCGGTGTCAATGATCCATTGAACAACAGCAGCAACATCCGCAAACGGCTGATTTTCGCTGAAGGCAATGACGTGCATGTCGTAGGACGGGTTGAGACCGCGGAGAAGGCGATCTATCTGGATGAACTGGGGGAGTTCGGACTGGCGAGCCTTAAGTCGCTTGGCGAGAGAGGTCATGCGGCCGGTGTAGGCGACGGCACCAGTGCAGGTTGCGAGCGTTGTCTCCCAGTATTCGTCAAGGAGCAGCCCCACGGAGTTGACGTCATGGCGCTCAAACATGGCGTGAAGGGAGGCCCAAAGGGCAGGTGCGTGAAGCTCTTGTTCCTGAAAGTCTCGCATTAGAGCGGGGGGGAGACCACCAAGGATAATATTAGAGGCAGAAAGGTCAGATTCCTTCCAAGCAGCAGCTTTAGCGGTATATTCAGCGAGCGCGAGAGTGTAGCGGTCAGCCATGGTGCGGTGATTTATTATGGCAGCTTGGCGCATGTCGTATTGCTCGCGAGCCGCACGATGGTCCGCTCGGAGCGTGAGGAACCGACGCCGCTCGAGATCGTAGGCTGCTTCATCAGCGGCTTGGCGAACAGGATCCGTGGAGGCAGCGGGCAGATCTGGTTCGTCAGGTTCAGGTCCAGGGTCAGGCGGGAGAGTGGGGGCCGATCCAGGGGACATAGGGGGCGTTGGCGGGAGAGCGGCAGCATGGCGGAGGACAAGGTCGAGGAGGGTGGAGGAGGTGTTGGGGATGTGGATGACGCCGAGGAGGCGGCGCATGCTCCCTGTGTAGGAGTACCAGTTGATAGCGCTCTGATCGGGAGCGAGCTCGAGCCGATCAATGGAGAGAGTGTTGAAATTCTGAGGAAGAGAAGGAGCAGCCATAGCAGTAAGTTAGTGCGATGTGAGGGGAGAAAAAATGTTAGTAGCGAGCGAAAGCGAGGCAGGTTAGAAGCGAGGGAGAGGAGGAGGGGGGTTAGTAGCAGCACGTGGGAGAGGATTGGGAGCAGTAGCGTGGCAGGAGAGGCGGAGAGCAGAGATAGTATGAGAGAGGCAGCGGGAGAGGAAACGGTGGGCGGAAGCAATGGGGGGGGGGGGAAGGGTCGAGGGAGCGGCGGGGAGGAAGAGATGAGGCAGTAGCTAAGTGCCTGGCGGCGAGGGAGAGTAGGAGCAGCCGCGGCGAAGTGTCTTGCAGCGAGGAGAGGCAGTGGCGGCGGCAAATTGCCCGCAGCGAGTGAGTAGAGGCGGCGGAGGCGAAATGCCCCGCGGCGAGTGGGAGCAGTGGCGGCGGCGGCGAAATGCCCCGCGGCGAGTGGGAGCAGTGGCGGCGGCGGCGAAATGCCCCGCGGCGAGTGGAGTAGTGGCGGCGGAGGCGAAATGCCCCGCGGCGAGTGGGAGCAGTGGCGGCGGAGGCGAAATGCCCCGCGGCGAGTGGGAGCAGTGGCGGCGGCGGCGAAATGCCCCGCGGCGAGTGGGAGCAGAGGCGGCGGCGGCGAAATGCCCCGCGGCGAGTGGGAGCAGTGGCGGCGGCGGCGAAATGCCCCGCGGCGAGTGGAGTAGTGGCGGCGGAGGCGAAATGCCCCGCGGCGAGTGGGAGCAGTGGCGGCGGCGGCGAAATGCCCCGCGGCGAGTGGGAGCAGTGGCGGCGGCAGCGAAATGCCCCGCGGCGAGTGGGAACAGTGGCGGCGGCGGCGAAATGCCCTGCGGCGAGTGAAGCAGCGGCGGCGGCGGCGAAATGCCCCGCAAGGAAGAAAAGCGGTGCGAGAGTAGTGGCGACGGCGGATAGGTCGCGGCGATTGAGACGCCGGCAGCTGAGAACGTAAATGCGGCGGCAGGAGCTGAGGCGAGAAATTCGCCTTACGAGAGATAGAGTAGGAGCTGGAGGGAGGTGGTGACTGGTTGTACTTTACGGAAGATTGAACTTCAACCAAGTCAAACCCACGCAACAAGTTGCATGGGCAGGACGGAAGGGTCCTGACGAGCGGGGAGGAAAAAAAAAACTTGAGAGAAAGAGGTCGAGAGGGGCGTTTGCCAATTGGCTCTGAATACCATGAAAGAATCTCAAGTGTTTTATTGATTAGAAAGAGTGTCGGTACATATAGGAGATGAGAAGTTTTGGGAACGAAGTGGGGTACCCTCAGCATTTATTGGTGGACCAATCAGATTGACAATTGCTGGGGTAACCAACAATCGTTGGAGGGGACCATTATTGGCCCCCCCCCGTCAATTGCGGTCGAGTTGGGTTTGGGGGCGCCCAACCAAAATTGGTTGGGTCGCCTTGACCCAAAGTGTACACCCACTTTAGGGTGTAACACATGCACAAATATAAACATACATTATGCTATATTCTAACAGTCCCATATCGCCTCGTGACATGGTGATATAAGTCCCATATCGCCTCGTGACATGGTGACATAAGTCCCATATCGCCTCGTGACATGGTGGGATAATTCCCATATCGCCTCGTGACATGGTGACATAAGTCCCATATCGCCTCGTGACATGGTGACACAAGTCCCATATCGCCTCGTGACATGGTGACATAAGTCCCATATCGCCTCGTGACATGGTGACATAAGTCCCATATCGCCTCGTGACATGGTGACATAAGTCCCATATCGCCTCGTGACATGGTGACATAAGTCCCATATCGCCTCGTGACATGGTGACGTTGCCTGGTGTGGCATGATGCGGCATGGCAACATGCACAGCCTGCTGGATGATATGGTGAGAGGAGCCCCTCTGGTGGATGCTTCATGCACAATCAGTAAGAATCAGCGTGTAAGAGAGAGGTGACTTTGAGACGTCTCAAAAACACCCTCTCTACACGTGCATGTAAGAGGTGACTATTGAGTCGACTCAAAAGTCACCTTGATATGGTGAGAGGAGCCCCTCTGGTGGATGCTTCATGCAAAATTAGTAAGAATCAGCATGTAAAAGTGTCTGGCATGGCATGGCATGTCATGGCATGGCATCAGCAGAAGAATCATCCCCTCTTCCCCTGATTCCTTCCCCATCATCTCCCCCGCCCACCAGAACGCCAGTGCTGAGAGTCTTGGCCCTCTCCCTTCCCCGCGTTCCTCCTCTGATTTTTTAGTCGACTCAAAAGCCTTCCCCCTCTTTCCCCGTTTCCCCCCTATCGTCTCCCCCGCCCACCAGAACGCCAGTGCTGATAGTCTCGCTCGCACCCCCTCTTCATCTCCCCTGTCCCCCATCCCCCGATCCTCTCTCCTTCCCCTGTCTCCTTCCCCTCCTTCCCCTCCTTCCCCCCCTTTCTCCCCACCACCTTTCTCCCACTTCCCAGAACGCCAGTGCTGAAAATATCGCTGAGAGTCTCGCTCGCACCCCCTCTTCACCTCCCTTGTCCCCCATCCCCCCACCCCATCCTCTCTCCTTCCCCTTTCCTTTCCCCTTGCCCCCTCATTCCCCCCCATCCACCGGAACGTTAGTGCCGAAAACCTTGCTCGCAAGTTTGGCTTGGACCCCCTCTGCTCTCCCTTGCCGCCCATCCGCTCACCTTTCCCTTTCTCCTTCCCCCCTTTCTCCTTCCCCCCCTTTCTCCCCACCACCTTTCTCCCACTTCCCAGAACGCCAGTGCTGAAAATCTCGCTCGCAAGTTTGGCTCGGACCCTAAGACAACCTCTTTTACACTCAGTGAGTTTGGTTCGAACCTAGTAAGCAAGTGTGGCTTTAATTCTTGAAACAGATCTGGCTCTGATTCTCAGAGCAGATTTGGCTCGGACCCCAAGACAACCTCCTTCACACTCGATAAGTTTAGATTGAACCATTTTTAGGCGCCTTAAACGAGAATCTAGACAAGTTTGAACGTCAGTGCCGAGAATCTCGCTCGTAAGTTTGGCTCGGACCCCAAGACAACCTCTTTTACACTCAGTGAGTTTGGTTCGAACCTAGTAAGCAAGTGTGGCCTTTATCCCAGAAGCAGATATGGCTCTGATTCTCAGAGCAAGTTTGGCTCGGACCCCAAGACAACCTCCTTCACACTGGATAAGTTTAGATTGAACCATTTTTAGGCGCCTTAAACGAGAATCTAGACAAGTTTGAACGTCAGTGCCGAGAATCTCGCTCGTAAGTTTGGCTCGGACCCCAAGACAACCTCTTTTACACTCAGTGAGTTTGGTTCGAACCTAGTAAGCAAGTGTGGCCTTTATCCCAGAAGCAGATATGGCTCTGATTCTCAGAGCAAGTTTGGCTCGGACCCCAAGACAACCTCCTTCACACTCAATAAGTTCTGCTCAGATGTAATATTATTCCTAGAAGCAGATTCGGCTCCGATTCTCAGAGCAGATTTGGCTCGGACCCCAAGACAACCTCCTTCACACTCACTGAGTTGGGCTCTAGCCTATCAAGTTGGTTCGGCTACGGCCCTGTGAAAACAGCCCGATTCAGATTATGTGGCTATTGTGGCTCGGATCCCTAAACAACCTCCGTCACACACTCAGTGAGTTTGTCTCGCGTCTGATGAGTCAAATCAATTTTTGAGGCGCCTCAAAAACTGAGACGATTTCTTAGGCGCCTCAGAAATCGCGCCTGGTGAGTCAAGACAGTCAGCTGAATCCGATTTCGTTGATCCGGTTTGAACCGAATGCATTGGTTTGGCCCGGACCTGCTCACTGGTTTGGCTCTGAATCTAACACGTGTTACACCAAATCACTGTGCCCTGCCCTGTTTCCATCTCCTTCTCCTTTTCTTCCCCTTGCAGTCTTTGGTGTGTTGAGAGACTTTGTAGATCTCTTTAAGAAGAATCTGGTGGAGTATGAGAAGAAGAAAAAGGCAGAGGAGGAGGCGGCCAAGGACTTTGCTGATCAATTCCCTTCCCTATTTCCATATCCTTTTCCTGTACTTCCTCCCCAGTCTTTGGAGTGTTGAGAGACTTTGTAGATCTCTTTAAGAAGAACCTGGTGGAGTATGAGAAGAAGAAAAAGGGAGAGGAGGAGGCAACTGAGATGGGTGTTGAAGCGCCTTACATGCATCAACTCTCTGTGTCCTGCCCTGTTCCCTCCCCCCCCAGTCTTTGGTGTGTTGAGGGATTTTGTAGATCTCTTCAAGAAGAACCTGGTGGAGTATGAGAAGAAGAAAAAGGCAGAGGAGGAGGCGGCCAAGGAGGAAGCCCAGCCGAAGGCGAAAGCGAGTGGGAAGCAGCAGCGGGAGCAGGAGGAGCAGCAGAAGGAGCATGCAAAGCAGAAATCGCAGAAGCAGGAGCAGAAGCAGCAGGAAGTAGCTGCAAAAGCAGCGGCGGAAAAAGAGGAGGATGAAGAGGCAGAGGGGAGTGAGGAGAGTGAGGAGGAGAGAGGAGGGAGAGGAGGTGGGGGCGGAGGGGCGGAGGGTACGCCGTTTGTGAGGGGGGCTACAAATGCAATGCTGGCAGGGGCGATTACGAGGAGGAGAGCACCGGTGGATGAGGATGAAGACAGTGAGGATGACGACTGGAGTGACTAGAGGGGGGCGAGTGGAGTGGGTCAACACTAGGAGGCAGGGCAGGGAAAGAGTGTGCAGTTCCATCACGAGGAGGAGAGCTCCTGTGGATGAAGATGAAGACAGTGAAGATGATGACTGGAGTGACTAGAAAGGGGGGGAAGAGGAAGGGGGATACTGGCTATACAGGCCACAAGGAGGAGAGCACCGGTGGATGAGGATAGTGAGGATGATGACTGGAGTGACCAGCGGAGGGCGGATAGAGCGGGTCAAGATGAGGCGGCAGAGCAGGAAAAGGGGTGCAATAACAGGGGAGATGTTTGCAGGAGCGATCACGAGGAGGAGAGCACCGGTGGGTGAGGATGAAGACAGTGAGGATGACGACTGGAGTGACTAGAAAGGGGGGGAAGAGGAAGGGGGATACTGGCTTTACAGTCCACGGGGAGGAGAGCACCAGTGGATGAGGATGAGGATGAAGACAGTGAGGATCATGACTGGAGCGACAAGTGAGAAGAAGAGAGTAGAGCTTGACTAGAGGATAGATGGTGGACGGCAGGAGAAGAAAATGAGCTTGAGAATGTTTATGGTAAAGAGGATGGGGACTGCTTCGTGCTGGGTAGATGATGAATGGGAGGAAGGGAGTATTTAGGTAGCTAGTGGAATAGATGGTTAGAAGAGTGAGCAGTGAGCGATAGCAGTGAGCAGCTAAGAGCAGGGCCTGTGGCCCGGTGCGAATCGAGTGAAGCACAGGGAATATGGTGTGAGACGTCTCAAAACAACACTTTTATCACGAAGAGTGAGCAGTGAGCGATAGCAGTGAGCAGCTAAGAGCAGGGCCTGTGGCCCGGTGCGAATTGAGTGAAGCACAGGGAATATGGTGTGAGTGTGTATGGGAAGGTTGGTGCTATTTTAGTGCATAACTAGTTTAGGTAAGCCGCCCTTTCGTGCTGCAGGAGCCTGTCATGTCAAACAGGAAGAGCAAACAGGAAGCTCCTGTGAAAAACTGTTAGGTTGGGTTGGGCTGCTGCTAGGTTGAGAGAGGCTGTGATGAGCCGCCTTGTGGCTATATGTTTGAGGTACCGTACTTGTTGCGCGCGTGTGATGCGATCTGGTTATGTGATTTATGCCTGTATCCTGGAAATTGTCTGGAAATTTTATCGGATGGACCCCTAAAACGTTGTGGAAACTTGAAGAACTGGTTTGTAAACTATATGTTCCTGTCTTACGTAGTCTGGGAGTAGCAGGTGAATGCGCCGAGTCTGTTTGAAATCTAGGCAATCGCGAATGACACTAACGCGGATAATCGGCTCTGTCACTCGAGAGTGACAATCATCTGTCAGGCATACGTTTTGCCCACAGCAAGTTCTGCTCAGGTGCCGCTTCGTTAGTCGCCGAAGCGCTTCGTTTGCTATCCGTTGCCCGCAACCCTCGCAACCTCGAGTTCGCTCTGACCTGAGTCCGTAGCGTTTCTGTTCGCGTTTTTCGACACCCCCTTTTTGCGATAGCGCTTCAAGGATCACGGTTTCACGTATCAGATTCTGCCGGCCGTCAGATTCTCTCTTGGCCTTTTGTCAGATTATCCCTGTCGTTGGATCGCGGAAATCAACGGCGGTGGAGACGCGATGCGGTCTAACGTCACATCAGAGGTCTGCGATTCCTGCCTGTAGCAAATCTGTAGGAGATTCGCGACACCTGTAGGAGTTTCTCTCGACAGCTGTAGGAGTTTCGCGAGACCTGTAGGAGTTTCGCGATACCTGTGTGTGTGGCTGTATGTGTGGTGGTAGTGATTGATCCGATCCGTCGTCGTTTCCCCCATCGCTTCTCTGCAGTCAAACATAGGCACGCACATTTGAGGCGCCTCAAAAGTGGCTGTATGTGTGGTGGTAGTGATTGATCCGATCCGTCGTCGTTTCCCCCATCCTTTCCCTCCAGGCCAGCATAGGCACACACATCCACCAGTGGTGGCTGGGTGTGCCTTTGATAACAACCATCACCCTCCCTTCCTCCCATCCTCCATCTCACCCATTACATCCCCTTCCTCCCAGGCCAGCATAGGCACACACATCCACCAGTGGTGGCTGGCCGTGCCTCTGATAACAGCCTCTGTCTTCGCCATCCGTGTGGCTGTCTGTGTGGCTGTGTCCGTGTGGTGGTGGCCCCTCGTCCCTCCCATATCCCCTCCCACCAGGCCAGCACAGGCGCGCACATCAACCAGTGGTGGCTGGCCGTGCCTCTGATATCAACCTAAGTATTCGCCGTCTGAGTGGCTGTGTGTGTGTGGTGGTGGTGGTTCCTCTCCCCTCCCCCCCCCCATCGTCTCCCCCATTCCCTCCCTCCCTCGCTCCCCCTCCCAGGCCAGCATAGGCACACACATCCACCAGTGGTGGCTGGCCGTGCCTAAACGCCTCATTACCCCCCCTCGTCCTCTCCCCCATTCCCTCGCTCCCCCGCTCCCCTTCCCAGGCAAGCATAGGTACGCACATCCACCAGTGGTGGCTGGGCGTGCCTCTCATAACAGCCTCAGTCTTCGCCATCTGTGTGGCTGTGTTCGCGGTCGACCTACTGACTGGCTATGACAGCTTTAGGGAGGTCTGCTTCTCGCCCTCCCTCGCCCTGCTGCACTGGCAAGGTGAGCACTAAGCAGGGCTCTGGTTACAGCTTGCTTCAGGGAGGTCTGCTTCTCGCCCTTTCTAACTGTGCTGCAATGGAAAGGTGCGCTAGGCTTGGTACACTCACTCACCAGTTGCTGGCTGGGTTAGAGTGCTGGCTGGGTTATAGTGCTGGCTGGGTTAGAGATGTCTCTGATAGATGTCCCTGATGCTCTTGGTTCGTGCTTTTGAGTCTACTCAAAAGTCACTTGCACGCTCATTCACCAGTGCTGGTTTAGGACGAGTAGACACATTATTATTGACACACACAGCGAGAGGCTTCTCGCATCCCTCACTCACTCACAATCCTCTCCAAATCTTTTTAGTTTTGAGGCGCCTCAAAACCCTCACTCACTCACAATCCTCTCCAAGTCTTTTTTTCTCTAACCCCTGTGTTCCCCTCTCTCCCCCTCTGCTATTCCCTCTATTTCCGCTGCTATCTTCCAGTATACCGCGCACTCACCTCCATCTTCTTCCACAAGGGACTCCTCCACATCGCACTCAACCTCTCCACACTCCTCCCTCTGGCGGCCCCTCTGGAGCGCCACCTGGGCTCACTGCGGCTGCTGCACGCGCTGCTGCTGCTCGCCTGCCTCAACTCCCTTATCCACAGTGCCTTGGCGTTCATGCCTAAATTGCTGTTAGGGTGGTGGGGTTGGTGGGCTGGCGAGTGCTGCATCGGCTTCTCCGGAGTGCTCTTTGCACTGATCGTGCTGGACTTACAAGTCGGGGGGGGCAGAGACAGGAGGTGAGTGCAGGGTTCCAGGTTTCCCCTTCTTGCCTCTCCACACTCCTCCCCCTGGCTTCCCCGCTGGAGCGCCACCTGGGCTCACTGCGCCTGCTGCACGCGCTGCTGCTGCTCGCCCGCCTGAACGCCGTTATTTACTCTGCCTTGGCATTTATGCCCTGCCCCTCTGGAGCGCCACCTGGGCTCACTGCGCCTGCTGCACGCACTGCTGCTGCTCGCCCGCCTGAACGCCGTTATTTACTCTGCCTTGGCATTTATGCCCTGCCCCTCTGGAGCGCCACCTGGGCTCACTGCGGCTGCTGCACGCGCTGCTGCTGCTCGCCTGCCTGAACTCCCTTATCCACAGTGCCTTGGCGTTCATGCCGGGGCTGCTGTTAGGGTGGTGGGGTTGCTGGGGGGAACCTGGTATAGAGGCACCACCTGGGTGCACGCGCTGCTGCTGCTCGCCCTCCTCAACTCCCTTATCCACAGTGCCTTGGCGTTCATGCCTGGATTGCTGTTAGGGTGGTGGGGTTGGTGGGCTGGCGAGTGCTGCATCGGCTTCTCCGGAGTGCTCTTTGCACTGATCGTGCTGGACTTACAAGTCGGGGGGGGCAGAGACAGGAGGTGAGTGCAGGGTTCCAGGTTTCCCCTTCTTGCCTCTCCACACTCCTCCCCCTGGCTTCCCCGCTGGAGCGCCACCTGGGCTCACTGCGCCTGCTGCACGCGCTGCTGCTGCTCGCCCGCCTGAACGCCGTTATTTACTCTGCCTTGGCATTTATGCCCTGCCCCTCTGGAGCGCCACCTGGGCTCACTGCGCCTGCTGCACGCACTGCTGCTGCTCGCCCGCCTGAACGCCGTTATTTACTCTGCCTTGGCATTTATGCCCTGCCCCTCTGGAGCGCCACCTGGGCTCACTGCGCCTGCTGCACGCGCTGCTGCTGCTCGCCCGCCTGAACGCCATTATTTACTCTGCCTTGGCATTTATGCCCTGCCCCTCTGGAGCGCCACCTGGGCTCACTGCGCCTGCTGCACGCACTGCTGCTGCTCGCCCGCCTGAACGCCGTTATTTACTCTGCCTTGGCATTTATGCCCTGCCCCTCTGGAGCGCCACCTGGGCTCACTGCGGCTGCTGCACGCGCTGCTGCTGCTCGCCTGCCTCAACTCCCTTATCCACAGTGCCTTGGCGTTCATGCCGGGGCTGCTGTTAGGGTGGTGGGGTTGCTGGGGGGAACCTGGTATAGAGGCACCACCTGGGTGCACGCGCTGCTGCTGCTCGCCCTCCTCAACTCCCTTATCCACAGTGCCTTGGCGTTCATGCCTGGATTGCTGTTAGGGTGGTGGGGTTGGTGGGCTGGCGAGTGCTGCATCGGCTTCTCCGGAGTGCTCTTTGCACTGATCGTGCTGGACTTACAAGTCGGGGGGGGCAGAGACAGGAGGTGAGTGCAGGGTTCCACATTTCCCCTTCTTGCCTCTCCACACTCCTCCCCCTGGCTTCCCCGCTGGAGCGCCACCTGGGCTCACTGCGCCTGCTGCACGCGCTGCTGCTGCTCGCCCGCCTGAACGCCGTTATTTACTCTGCCTTGGCATTTATGCCCTGCCCCTCTGGAGCGCCACCTGGGCTCACTGCGCCTGCTGCACGCACTGCTGCTGCTCGCCCGCCTGAACGCCGTTATTTACTCTGCCTTGGCATTTATGCCCTGCCCCTCTGGAGCGCCACCTGGGCTCACTGCGCCTGCTGCACGCGCTGCTGCTGCTCGCCCGCCTGAACGCCGTTATTTACTCTGCCTTGGCATTTATGCCCTGCCCCTCTGGAGCGCCACCTGGGCTCACTGCGCCTGCTGCACGCACTGCTGCTGCTCGCCCGCCTGAACGCCGTTATTTACTCTGCCTTGGCATTTATGCCCTGCCCCTCTGGAGCGCCACCTGGGCTCACTGCGCCTGCTGCACGCGCTGCTGCTGCTCGCCCGCCTGAACGCCGTTATTTACTCTGCCTTGGCATTTATGCCCTGCCCCTCTGGAGCGCCACCTGGGCTCACTGCGCCTGCTGCACGCGCTGCTGCTGCTCGCCCGCCTGAACGCCGTTATTTACTCTGCCTTGGCATTTATGCCCTGCCCCTCTGGAGCGCCACCTGGGCTCACTGCGCCTGCTGCACGCACTGCTGCTGCTCGCCCGCCTGAACGCCGTTATTTACTCTGCCTTGGCATTTATGCCCTGCCCCTCTGGAGCGCCACCTGGGCTCACTGCGCCTGCTGCACGCGCTGCTGCTGCTCGCCCGCCTGAACGCCGTTATTTACTCTGCCTTGGCATTTATGCCCTGCCCCTCTGGAGCGCCACCTGGGCTCACTGCGCCTGCTGCACGCACTGCTGCTGCTCGCCCGCCTGAACGCCGTTATTTACTCTGCCTTGGCATTTATGCCCTGCCCCTCTGGAGCGCCACCTGGGCTCACTGCGCCTGCTGCACGCGCTGCTGCTGCTCGCCTGCCTGAACTCCCTTATCCACAGTGCCTTGGCGTTCATGCCGGGGCTGCTGTTAGGGTGGTGGGCTGGCGAGTGCTGCATCGGCTTCTCAGGAGTGCTCTTTGCATTGATCGTCCTGGACTTACAGATTGGAGGGGGCAGAGACAGGAGGTAGGCAGAAGAATTGGTAGGTTGTTGGGCTTTTGTTTGGCTAGTGGAGTTGGTGGGCCGGGGAGTGCTGCATTGGCTTCTCAGGAGTGCTCTTTGCGCTGATCGTGCTGGATCTACAGATTGGAGGGGGGAATCAAAGAAGGTCCGTGTAAACCTCTCGCTACTCAAGACTTTTCTTGAGGCCCCAATCTAGAGCCACCTGGGCTCACTGCGTCTGCTGCACGCGCTGCTGCTGCTCGCCCTCCTCAACGCCGCCATCCACAGTAGTCCTGGCATGGCTTTGAGACGTCTCAAAAAAAATCTTCATACACGCTGCTGCTGCTCGCCCTCCTCAACACCGCCATCCACAGTAGACCTGGCATGGCGTGGTAGACCTGGCATGGCGTGGTAGACCTGGCATGGCGCGGTAGACCTGGCATGGCGCGGTAGACCTGGCATGGCGTGGTAGACCTGGCATGGCGTGGTAGACCTGGCATGGCGTGGTAGACCTGGCATGGCGTGGTAGACCTGGCATGGCGTGGTAGACCTGGCATGGCGTGGTAGAAGCCATGCAGTGCCTAAGGCCAAGTGTTTCTCTTGGCATGACACATCACCGTGTGTGCATTGCATGTGGTTGATAATCCTTGCCTCTGCATTTCCGTTTCGTCCTTGATTTTTCCCCTCCGATCTGTCACCCCGCGCCATGCCGTGTTTCACCCGCGTGTTTGGTTTCTTTGCATGTATCTTTGGTTTCTTCACTGTGCCAGCCAACCGCATGGTAAGACTTTTGAGAACTCTCTCAGTTGGAGTTACTTCAACTGTGTATCTCCCGTGTGTCTCCTCCCGTGTATCTCCTCCCGTGTGTCTCCTCCCGTGTATCTCCTCCCGTGTGTCTCCTCCCGTGTATCTCCTCCCTCGTGTCACCCCGCGTTCTGTTGCACCCGTGTGCAGCATCTTTGGTTTCTTCACTGTGCCCACCGCATGGAAAGACTTGTGAGAACTCTCTCAGTTGGATTGGAGTTACTTTTGAGAATTCTCATCCTTTGTATCTCCTCCCCTCTTGTCACCCCGCGTTCTGTTTCACCCGTGTGCAGCATCTTTGGCTTCTTCACTGTGCCAACCGCATGGTAAGATCTGTTTCAAGAACTCACTGGTGGAGTTGCTTTGAGAATTCTCTCAAGCATGCATGCATGCATACATGCGTGCATCAAGCATCTTTGGTTTCTTCACTGTGCCAACTGCATGGTAAGATCTGTTTCAAGAACTCACTGGTGGAGTTGCTTTGAGAATTTTCTAAGGCAACTCCCATGCATTCGGCATCTTGTTTGAATTCGACCCAAAAACACAACTCCCATTCATGCAGCATCTTTTGATTCTTCAGTGAGACAACCGCCCGGCGAGACTTCTGTTGAGGCCTTTCTATTGGAGTTGTTTTGAGATTTTCCTTGCATGCAATTCACGTGCATGCAATTCACGTGCATGCAATGTTTTCTTCACACTGTGCCAACCGAATGGTGAGATTTTGCTAGGAAATTCTGTAACACACCAGTGTTGCAGCAGTCAACCTTCAAATCTGTGTTGCTGTGGTATAAAGGCCCATTTTATCCCATCCCATCCCATCCCATCCCATCCCATCCCATCCCATCCCATCCCATCCCATCCCATTGCTGCCTCGCTTCTCGCTAATACACAGGTACCCTTGGGTCCTCCTCGTGCAATTCCAGCTGCTTGCATCTCTGCTTTAATACACACTCACTCCTCTCAGCTCATTTCTCAAAAGTCCCTCCCTTTCTTCCACAGGTACCCTTGGGTCCTCCTTGTGCTGTTCCAACTGCTCCTCCCCTCCGCCTCTCTGCTTGGTCACCTAAGCGGCGTCCTCTCAGGGCTAGCATGTGAGTTGCCTTTCTCCCCACTTCTGAGGCTCCTCTTGAGTCGACTTAAAATTGGTCTGCGCACCACTCAACCCAGTGTCATGATCTTATGCTTGTGTCTTGGGTGCGACTTTTGAGAATTCTCAAAAGTCGCACCAAAAAAAAAACCCAGTGGCATGCTCTTATGCTTGTGTCTTTTGAGACGTCTCAAAAATGCTTGTGTCGATCTCCGAGTACTGCTCATAATCCGCCCTTCTTATCTCTATCTACCATCTTTTTATTGCTTATAACATCATGTCGGTTACCTTTCTCTCTTTCCCATTATGTCCATCACTTTCCCCCCAGATGTTCGTGACGCCTTCGCTATTGTCACACCTTCTTCAGCCACATTCAGTTCTCTGGAGTCATCGCGAGCCCTGGTCAGAACTTACCTTCCTACCCTAAACCCCATGATTACCACCACACAAGGTCTCGTTACGTCCTCTTTATAGTCACACCCTTCCCAGCCACATTCCGTTCCCTAGAGTCATCTCGTTTCCCTGGTGAGTACCTACCTACCTACCCTTCAATCTAGGGTAGTGCTATGGGTAGGGTAACGCCATGAGAAGCCCGCATGAGATTAAGCTCCCGTGATTGCCCCCACTGAGCGCCTTCCTGCCACTGCTGGCCACTGCTGTGTAGTGGTTCTGGACTGTCTATATTCACTAGCAACCACCCACCACGCACTTCAACCGCCCACCACGCACTTCAACCGCCCACCACCCACTGCAACCACCCACCACCCACTGCAACCACCCACCACCCACTGCACCCGCCATCCACTACCCACTGCCCACCACCACTGAGCGCCTTCCTGCCACTGCTGGCCACTGCTGTGTAGTGGTTCTGGACTGTCTATATTCCCCTGCAACCACCCACCACGCACTTCAACCGCCCACCACCCATCCATCAGGCTCCCATGGTGCGCCGGCCAGGGTTCATCGTGGGGGGACATCTGATCACTGCTGCTTCCGATCCCTCTGCAGTACCAGCTTTGGCAATGCACTGCGCCGGCCAGGATGCATCGCCGACCTTTGAGACGTCTCAAAAGTCCCTCTGCAGTACCAGCTTTGGCAATGAGCTGCGCCGGCCAGGATGCATTACCGACTGGTCCGCCAGTGCCCTCTGCTGCAGTGTGCCGGTTCTGGGCTCTCTCTAGACCCGATTCACCTGCTCCCACCTACACACCCACTCACCACCCATTTGCCCACCAGGCTTTGATGGTGCGCCGGCCAGGGTTCATTGCGGGGGGGCATCCGACCAGCGCTAGTATGTCACAGCCCACTGCCCATCTGACCACCCCCACACATTCACCACCCACCATATCCACCACATCACACCACCGCACCCATCAGGCTCCCATGGTGCGCCGGCCAGGGTTCATCGCGGGAGGACATCCCATCACTACTGCTGCCCTCACCAGCCTTGGGGATCTTTCCTCCCTGCGGTAAGACCCACCACACCCACCACACACACACCACCGCACACCACCGCACACCACCGCACCTATCAGGCTCCTATGGTGCGCCGGCCAGGGTTCATCGCCGAGGGACATCCCATCAGCGCTGCTGCCTTTACCAGCCTAGGGGATCTCTCCTCCTCCCTGCGGTGAGCCTCCCTCGTTACCCTCACTCATTTAGTTGGCGCCGCCTGAGAATTATTCTCGCCGCTGCTGCCGTCACCACCCTTGGGGACGCCTCCTCCTCCCTGCGGTTTGCATACCTTGGTATTCCGGGATTCATCCCTATCATCACTTTTGAGGCGCCTCAAAAGTCTTCTTATTCCGGGATTCATCCCTATCATCACGTCATTTAACCCACTTCAGTGAAACAGAGCTACAAAAGGGCACGAGGGTGCAAATAAGGTTGTCGGACTGTGCTATATTCCTTCTCTTCCACTTTCTTCCTGTGCACGTCACGTCACCCTCTCTCTGCCACAGGCCAGCGAGCATCAGCCAATCGCTGAACACCACGTGGCGATCCATGCAAGCATCCGTAGCTCGTGTGCAAGAGCGGTGGCGATCGGTAGCCGCAGCAGTGCAGCAGCAGCAGGAGCAGCAAAGGCTAATCCAACAACAGCAGCAGCAACAGCAGCAGGGGAGATACAGTCAGCGCCAGGGGCCTCTGTCGAATGTGCACTCACTCTCAGCAGTGGCTGCTGCTACTAATAATGCACACCCTTCGTTACAGTCACAGTCGCATGGGTGGGGGCAGGTTGCGAGCCAAGCAAGCACGCTGCAACAACCAGCAGCAGGCACTACAGCTGATCCTGTGAGTTGGACTTACCTTTCCTCATAAGGTTTAGGTTTTGGGTTCAGGGTAAGGCTCTGCTCTGCGGCCCCCATCTTATGAAGCACCGTTTGACAGCCTCTCTTTCACCTTATCCAAAATCGCCTTTTGCGTGTGCCTCTGTGTGTGCATGTGTGTGACCTTATGTGTTTTTCTGTGCTTGTCACCCTCAGAGGTTCCCTGGACGGGGCCGGACATTGGCAGGCTCGGCAGCAGCAGCAGAGGCGCCACCTTTAGCCACTGCAGGAGCAGGAGCAGGAGCAACAACGAGAGCAGCAGGAGCGACGAGAGCAGGGGAGGGAACGGTAGCAGTGTCGGTGATAGCATCTCATGATGCTCCTAATTACCCGCTGCCCAACGCTGCTGCTGCTTCTGCCAGTGCTGCTGCCGCCGCTGCTGCCTTGGGAAGGTGAGTTGGTGAGCTGTGAAGATGGTTACTGGGGGGGCAACTGGAGCGAGTAGAGCAGGGAAATGAACAGCAGCAGGAGCAGGAGCAACAACGAGAAATAGGAGCAAGTAGATCAGGGGAGGGAACGGTAGTGGTTTCGGTGGTAGCGTCTCATGATGCTCCCAACTACCCGCTGCCCAGCGCTGCTGCTGCCTCCGCCAGTGCTGCTGCTCTGGGCAGGTGCGTTGAGAAGTCATTCTGCTGAATATTTCCCAAGCCCGACCAACCATCCCCAGCAGTATGACTTTTCAATGGTCTTATGATTGAACTAATGATGTCTTCCTCGCTCTGACTCTCACCTTTTTTCCTCTTACGAATCAGTTGATGCTCTCCCTCTACTTCCCCCCCCACCCTCCCCTCCCTCCTACCCAGAGCAACGGTCATATTTAGTGGGTGGGGATATTCCCCAAGCCATATCAGCCAACAGCAGCAAAGAGATCTTTGATCTGCCTTCAAAATCAACTAATGCTCTCTTTCTCTCTCACTTCACTGGCCCCTCCCTCCCAGAGCAACGGTCCTCTCTAGTGGCTGGGGATATCCCCCAAGCCAGACCAACCAACACCAGCAGAATGAGCAGCTGTTGGGAGACACCCACCACCACGCCCTGCATGCTACAGCCGATAATGCCGGCAGGAGTAATGACGGTGCTAGAGCGGCATCTGTGCAGCAGTTGTGCGATATGGGCTTTAACCAGGTACGTGTGGTACACATCATGTGCCCTTTTTGCACATATCTATGCTTTTTGTCTTTCTAATTATTGTCCTAACCTTAGTCCAATCTTGTTTGTGTTTGCCCTTTTTATACAGTCGGTTGCTCAAGAAGCGTTGAATGCAACAAACGGTGATCTTTCTCTCGCAGTTGAACTGTTGACAGAACAAGTATAGGGCTAAGCAACTGCCAATTGTATGCTGCTCGTTTGTTTTGTAATCCTGTTGCTGTTGTGATTAAAAAAAAAACACACACAAAAGAATCTATGGTAAGATTTATTTCCCAGGGCTACACTTCACTCCCAGTGCAAGCGCTGGTAAACCGGGCGAGGTTATAAACTGGTCAGGTTACGGGTGGCTCGAGTTCCCGAAGGGCTACATGCTTCCTGCCATCCGCGAATGTTTTCGTAGCCAATAAAATCCTTCGCGATCCACGAAGAATCCGTGCGCGAAAGTTTGAAGTAGGGCTTTTCGATCAGCGTACTTGATTCACCCCTTCCTAGACTCAGATTGCTGCGGAATCGCCCTAGGTCGTACAGTAAGAATCGAGCCGCTAGTGACATGCTCGTCGAATTACCTCCTAATTGAGTCTTGAGACGTCTCAAAAGTCAACTCGACACGACGATTGAAGCGAATCTACCTTAGGGTGTCGCATTCCCCGAAAGACGTTGAGGCGGTCTCGATCGCGCTTCTTCCATCCTCCTGCTTCACGCAGTTGTAGTAATTTGTACTCTATTTAGGATCAGCAATTCACTCGTATCGTCCCTTATTATTGTAGTACATTTGTGATACCGATAGCAGTAAACCATGCAGCTGCGGCTGCCACTGGAGTGTAGCTCGTCCCTCCGGAAACTTTCTGCTAGTCGCTTCCCTCCCTCCCTTCTCCCACCACGCGACCCACGCCAACGCCTACGCACTAGCATCCCCGTTAGAAGAAGACAAGGTACAAGTATCTGCCGTGCAACTCGGGAGCCGCCGGATGCGGAGCGATGGTCGGGGATAGTTCTGGAGGAGGAAGATGACTATAACGGGGAAAGCTACAGTGCAGCAGACTACAGTAACAGTAACGGTAACAGATGGAGCAACAGTGACGGATGGAGCAGCAGCAGAGGCAGCAGCAACAGCAGCAGAAGCAGTAGAAACAGATTTGACTGGTCCTGGATTCCTAGTTTCCGCAGAGGCGGCAACGGGGATAGAAGAGCAGTAAGCGGAGGTGGCTGGGGAGGAGGAAGAGGAGGAGGTGGATGGGGGGGAGGGGGAAGAGGAGGCGGAGGGGGAAGAAGAGGAGGAAGGGGGGGAGGTACTATCGGTGGTGGGGTTGATTATGATTGGCTGGCGCCTTCAACGGAAAACGCTCTAGCTGTGATTCTAGCGGGGGTGTTTGCCTGTGCGCTGCTCTACCTCTCCTGGCAGGTCCTTGTCTCCACTGTAGTCATCCTTGTTGCTTGCTTCAAGTACGTCTTCCTAGCTGTCGCTATCATAGCCGCCCTGCTGTTTGCATTATAAGGGTGTCACAATGTTTTCCACCAGATACCCTAGATGCAGAACAGGTACACCCTAGATGCACTGGCTGTCCGGGTTAAGTTAAGCTTGGAATTTTAACGCAAACCCCTGACAGGTGAATTACGGTATCATCAACAATGAAGATCGCTTTGAGTTTGGATCAAATGGCACTGAAGGGAAGTCAAATCATACTCAATAGTGCTTCCCTGATCTTAGCCAAAGCTCTAATGGTTACCATATAACAGGTACGGTATTTGTCACAGCATCACCACACCAGCCCTTGGCAGCAACAGCTGCCTCTAGAAAACACCTGCTCTCTGTATGGGCGTCAACACTGTATGGCAATGCACAACGGACAGGAATGTGGCAAAATCCCTCACCCTTTTGCAGCAGCCATGCCGGCTGCTGTGGTTGGGCCTCCCACGTTGGCATTGGAGGTAATGAGGAGGTGCTTGAGAGGGAGAAGAGAGGAGTGATGCGGAGGAGGAGGAGAGGAGAGAAGGCAGCACCAGGAAATCATTACCCTCAAGTGCATGGGCTTTAAGACGGTATGGCCTAGCGCTACTGAGAGGAAAGTGGCAGTGGCATAGCCGAATATCCCCACCAGTATAGCCGGGACTGTGAGGGAGCGCCAGCCTTTAGAGGCAGCCATGCCGGCTGCTGTGGTTGGGCCTCCCACGTTGGCATTGGAGGCAATTAGGAGGTGCTTTAGGGGGAGGGAGAGGAGGCGGCCGAGGGAGAGGAATGGAGAGAAGGTGGCACTAGGAGAGCAGTGCTCTCAGATGCATGGGCTTTAAGACAGTATGGCCTAGCGCTACTGAGAGGAAAGTGGCAGTGGCATAGCCGAATATCCCCACCAGTATAGCAGGAACGGTCAGGGAGCGCCAGCCTTTAGAGGCAGCCATGCCGGCTGCTGTGGTTGGGCCTCCCACGTTGGCATTAGAAGAGATGAGGAGGTGTTTTAGAGGGAGAGAGAGGAGGCGGCCGAGGGAGAGGGTGAAGAGGAGGTGGAGGGAGAGTTGGAGGAGGATGAAGAGGAAGAGGGAGGGTGCTGATGAGAGGATGGCAGAGAGATTGCCGTTGGCTCCTATGGAAGCAAAGAAGACCTGATGGGATGGCAGGGAGTAGAGGGAGGAAGAGGGGTTGTAGCAAGCAAAGGGAGAGGAGAGGATGAAGAGGAAGAGGGAGGGGGCTGATGAGATGATGGCAGAGAGATTGCCGTTGGCTCCTATGGAAGCAAAGAAGACCTGAATGGGATGGCAGGGAGTAGAGGGAGGAAGAGGGGTTGTAGCAAGCAAAGGGAGAGGAGAGGATGAAGAGGAAGAGGGAGGGGGCTGATGAGAGGATGGCAGAGAGATTGCCGTTGGCTCCTATGGAAGCAAAGAAGACCTGAGAAGGAGGAGTGAGGGGAAAAAGGGGGTGGGGGATTGGAGCATGTGTGTTGGTAAAGAGAAGCCGCTGAGGAGAAGAAGGCAGAGAGATTGCCGTTGGCTCCTATGGAAGCAAAGAAGACCTGAATGGGATGGAAGGGGGGGATCAGGAGAGGCAGGGTGGGAAGCGCGACAGTGAGGATGGGTGTGACTGTAGCGAATGCCAGCATGAGGCGAGGCGTGACTATAGCAGCAAGAGATGACCGCTTCTCTCACCTGCAGCATCAGCGCAGCCATTTTCTCCCCGAGAACAACCAGAGGAGCGGTGAGGTGGGGTGTGAGTGTAGAGAATGCCAGCACAAGGCGAGGTGTTATCATACCCAGACTCACCTGCAGCATCAGCGCAGCCATTTTCTCCCCGGGAACAACCAGTGGGATAGCATAGCAAGACTGGGTGTGACTGTAGCGAACGCCAGCACGAGCGCCGTGACACAAGGGATGGTGCCTCCAGTGAAGGTCAGAAAGAGGTGAATTGTGACTGTAGCAATAGAGAATCATTCTAGTCAGTTAGTCCCTCTCACCTGCAGCATGAGAGCAGCCATCTTTTCCCCGGGAACAACCAGCGGAGCGGCGAGGTGGGGTGTGACTGTAGAGAATGCCAGCACAAGGCGAGGTGTGATTATAGCAGCAGAAGTTGACACCCTTTCTCACCTGCAGCATCAGCGCAGCCATTTTCTCTCCAGGAACAACCAGAGGGGCGGCGAGGTGTGGTGTGACTGTAGCAAAGGCCAGCACGAGCGCCGTGACACAAGGGATGGTGCCTCCAACGAAGGCTAGTCTCTTTGCTAGAGAGGAGCCGAGCCAGCAGAGGGAGGCCGCGAGGGCGAGGGCGGTTGCTGCTGCTGATACATCAAAAGGTGGCTTGAAGACAAAGAGACGGGGGATGGGGTGGGTGACACAGTGGGGTGGAGTGGAGGAGAGTGAGGAGGTTGGAAGATCAGAGAGCGATTGATTGCATGGTGCCTCCAACGAAGGCTAGTTCCTTTGCTAGAGCGGAGCCGAGCCAGCAGAGCGAAGCTACGAGGGCGAGGGCGGTTGCTGCTGCTGACACGTCGAATGATGGCTGGATGGGGGTGAGGGTGGGAGACACAGAGAGGTGCAGTGGAGGAGAGGAACGAGTGAATGCAATGCCAGCACGATCGACGTGACACAAGGGGTGGTGCCTCCAACGAAGGCTAGTATTTTTTTATAGAGAGGAGCCGAGCCAGCAGAGCGAGGCTGCGAGGGCGAGGGCGGTCGCTGCTGCTGATACGTCAAATGAAGGCTGGAGGATGGGGTGGGGTGGGGGACACAGAGGTGTGGAGAGAGAGGAAGGAACGATTGAACAATCTGTCAGCAGAGCGATGTGACACAAGGGATGGTGGCTCCAACGAAGGCTAGTCTCTTTGCTAGAGAGGAGCCGAGCCAGCAGCGGGAGGCTGCGAGGGCGAGGGCGGTGGCTGCTGCTGACACGTCGAATGAAGGCTGGAGGATGGGTGCAATACGGTGAAGGAGGAAGAGGGAAAGGAGTTCAAGAATTTAGGTGGCTTGCTAGAGAGGAGCCGAGCCAGCAGAGCGAGGCCGCGAGGGCGAGGGCGGTTGCTGCTGCTGACACATCAAACGAAGGCTGCTGGGTATGACAAGAGAGGGCGGGATGTGAGAGGAGGAGAGAGAAAGTAATTTCCTTGCTAGAGAGGTGCCGAGCCAGCAGCGGGAGGCTGCGAGGTGACTTTTGAGTCGACTCAAAAGTCGCAGCGGGAGGCTGCGAGGGCGAGGGCGGTGGCTGCTGCTGACACGTCGAATGAAGGCTGGAGGATGGGTGCAATACGGTGAAGGAGGAAGAGGGAAAGGAGTTCAAGAATTTAGGTGGCTTGCTAGAGAGGAGCCGAGCCAGCAGAGGGAGGCCGCGAGGGCGAGCGCGGTCGCTGCTGCTGACACGTCGAATGGGGACTGCTGGGTATAACAGCCAAGGACAGGAGAGAAAGGGATGGGAGATCACAGAGATGATGAAGCAAGCAATGCCAGTGCTGCCAGTAATGCCAGTGCTGCCAGTGCTGCCAGTGCTGCCAGTAATGCCAGTGCTGCCAGTAATGCCAGTGCTGCCAGTAATGCCAGTGCTGCCAGTAATGCCAGTGCTGCCAGTAATGCCAGTGCTGCCAGTAATGCCAGTGCTGCCAGTGCTGCCAGTGCTGCCAGTGCTGCCAGTGCTGCCAGTAATGCCAGTGCTGCCAGTAATGCCAGTGCTGCCAGTAATGCCAGTGCTGCCAGTGCTGCTAGTGCTGCCAGTAATGCCAGTGCTGCCAGTAATGCCAGTGCTGCCAGTGCTGCCAGTGCTGCCAGTAATGCCAGTGCTGCCAGTAATGCCAGTGCTGCCAGTAATGCCAGTGCTGTCAATAGAGTATGCTAGAAAATAACTCACCGTGGAGTCTGGTGAATCTGACGACCGTGTGTCAGCAGCAGCAGCAGCAGCAGCAGCAGCAGCAGCAGCAGCAGCAGCAGCAGAAGCAGCGTCCCCGCTGGGTTCTGCCGGTATGGTAGCAGCGAGGGCGAAGGGCGTGGTGAAGTGGACCGCACACACACACACAGCAGGTTGTCGGCTGCCCGAGCTGTCAGTGCTACCAGTGCTGCCAGTGATGTATGCCCAAAAATCACTCACCGTGGAGTCTGGTGAATCTGATAACTGTGTGTCAGCAGCAGCAGCAGCAGCAGCAGCAGCAGCAGCAGCAGCAGCAGCAGCAGGGCCAGCATCCCCGTTGGGTTCTGCCGGTATGGTAGCAGCGAGGGCGAAGAGCGAGGTGAAGTGCAGCGCGCGCGCACGCACACACACACACACACACACACACACACACACACGCACACACACACACACACACACACACACAGCAGGTTGTCGGCTGCCCGAGCTGCTGCTGTCGTGAGTGCACATACCTGTGAGGTTGATGCCTGTGTGTTTTGAGACGTCTCAAAACACTTGTTCATACACGCGGCCGCCGCCAGAGCTGCTGCTGTCTTAAGGGCACATAAAACACAATCTCAAGCGCACATACCTGTGAGGTTGATGCTTGTGTGTCAGCAGCAGCAGCAGCATCACTGGCGCCACTGCTCTCCGTCTCCCCCTCCCCTTCTGCAGGTATGCTAGCAGCGATGGCGAAAAGGGTTGTGAAGTGGAGCGCGCACAGCAGGTTGTCGGCTGCCAGAGCTGCCGTCACCACCGACGGTGATGCCTGCAGTGCCTCTGTCACTGCTACATAATTCACGGCTGGGAAAGGAGTGGGGGGAGGGACAGTGGGGACGAGGAGGAGATTGAACGAGCAGCGGCACCACCAGCAGCAGCACCAGCAACCTCTTAGAGCACACAACAGGTTGTCGGCTGCCAGAGCTGTCGTCACCACCGATGGCGATGCCTGCAGTGCCTCCGTCACTGCCACGTAATTTACGAATGGAAGGTGAGGGGAGATGGTGACACTGGGGAGGAGAAGGAGGATAAATCAGCAGCAGCAGCAACAACAACAACGCCAGAGCTGCTGTCGTCACCAATGGTGACTCCTGCAGTGCCTCTGTCCCTGCCCACCTCCCCCCTCGCACTCACCTGCCCCTATTTGTCGGCCCATCAGTCCAGCCGCTATCTTCCAACCATCCCTTCCTGTGACCGCCCACGCCCCCCGTATTCCCCCTCCGCCTCCCCTCTACCCCCCTCCTCGCATGCACTCACCCCCCCCTATGTGTCGCCCCATCAGTGCAGCAGCAATCTTCCAACCGTCGCCGCCCAGCGACCGGAGCGGCAGCGCGGCAAAGGCCATTAGCGTGCCAAAGATAGTGCCGACTGGATGGGGGGAGGGTGGGGGAGGAAAAGGGGGAGGAAAGGAGAGAAGAGAGGGGGGAGGGGCGCGAGAAACGGAAGACCTGTGAGTGGCAGGGCGGCAAAGGCCACCAGCGTGCCAAAGATAGTCCCGACTAAATGGGGGAGAGTGCGGGGCGGGGAGGGGGGCGCCCGGTGAGGAGGAAAAGGGGAAGAGGAGAGGGCAGGAGGGGAGAGAAGGGGTAACAGTAGGGAGAGGTAGGAGGGGATATCAAGTGGCAGGGCAGCAAATCCCACCAGGAAGCAAAAAATGAGTGACTTACCAAAGTGCAGCACTTACTAAAGTGCAGCAGTTGCTAAAGAGCAACACTATATGCCCAGCGCACCTGAGCCTACACAAAACGCCAAAAGCAGCCGCCCGGTGTCTTTAATCACCCTCCTTAGGTCGGCGGCGAATAGCAGCAGTGGAACGGCGAGCGGCAGCAGGAAGCGATTAACTACGACGTATGCAGGCGCCTCGGAGGGAATTAGGCCTAAGTTGCTCGCAGCTAGGCCTATTAATGTGGCGACTAACGGGCCGCTTAAGGCGCGTCCTAAATCGGTATGGCGCTCCGACCAGAAGCCGACAGCTGCGGCTGCTAGCAGCGCGGCCCAGACGCCCCACGTGTCGCTAGCTGAGATCAACGGTCGAGATGGCAGCGCGAAGGGAATGGACGGCTGCGATGCGGCGATGGATGCTACAAAGGTTTGGTGGGGAATGGATGGTGGAGATTGACCGGAAATCGACGGTTCAGATGCAGAGATAGGAGGAGTCAACTGGGGGAGGCTGCATCTGGGGGAAGCCAGACTCGGATCTACATTGCGAGACCAGTTTTGCCGTCGCCAATCTCGTGAAAACTGGTGATTCTTCGCGAAGGTTGACTGCGCGAATCGTGAATTTCGCAGAGGCTGCTGTGCGTAACGCTGGCACGTCGGATCGCCCGCCTGATGACACGTGGCACTCTCAGAGCGACGCAATTGCCGCGTCGGATGGAAACTAAAGCAGCTGCTCCGATGGGCCGACGGGAAGCTTCTATAATCTGCGACGCCTAGACTCGATGAGATCGCGCAATTAGCGTCGCCGCTGCTGCTACCGCGTGCTCGAAATTCCTGCGCGACGTGGCATTGCTCTCGGTGGCTGGCACAGTTTGTCGGTAGTGCGACGCGGTTCGTAACGGCTATTGATTTCATCATAGCTACGTGTAAGTAATCGGGTGTGTTGCGCACAACGCGGCGCCGAACGCGGCGACGGAAGCGGGGAGGGGAATGGCGAAGGAAAGGTGCAGCGCAATGAAATATTGCACTCGGTTTGAATCGTAAAACGGAAATTCTATAATTATGTCATTCACAACAACAGCTCTCCATTTTCCAAACTAGGTCTATAACGAATCGATTTCAATTTCTAAGATAATAGCGCGGTTCAAAGAGGTAGACCTACTAAACCTTTTGTGAGCGCACGTTATCGTGTTCAACCGTTCGTTACCGAACTTGAAACACAAAGTTTCCGCAAGGAGCACAAAGAGCTGACGATACTTTCCTGCTCTGCTCACCAAACACCATAACCAAACCGCGACAACTCTAAGGCTCCGCTTTACACGTGGAAAGTGTGAGCTAAGGGACTTGCCACTAGGCTACTACGGTACCTCTCACTGTGCGTTATTCGTGCGCCATTTTATGCACTTCCGTGCTAATAGGCTTCGATATAGTCAGCTTTGATCCCCAAACTCAGTTTCAACAGTTCACTTGTCTCCCAGAACGGTCGAAATTTCTGGGCGCGCTTATATCGCTTCAAGTCTGTGGTGTGTGCGATGGCGTCGAGTGAGACTATAACGGGTACAAGCTCGATGAACAGTACAGAACCCGAGGGTTACGGCGTGTTGCTGTACTACCAGTACGTGGATGTTCCTGATGACGTGGCAGCAGCTGATTGGATGCGACGTATCTGCGAGGAGCAAGGCCTATTGGGTCGCGTCCGCGTGTCTAAGCAAGGCTTCAACGTCACGGTTAGTATTATTGGGCTTTAAATAGGTGAAGGGAACGCCGTCAAATACGTTGGTCTTGGGTCGTGTCCGCTTGTCTAAGCAAGGCTTTACCGCCACGGTCAGTAGTATTGGAATTCAACTACTAACATCCAACCCCGTTAACATCACTCTGCAGAGAGTGGGTCGCATGTCCGCCCTCCACAGTCACATGGCCGCCCTCTCCCACCGCTCAACCAAGTGGTTCGCCCAAACTGCCTTGCAGGCTATTCTTTCTCTCTCTCCCCCTCGCCCACCCGCCCACCCTCGTTATAATCATCGACTGGCAGGGCCGGTAGTGGGTCGCATGCCTGCTCTTCACAAACACATCGCCGCCCACTCCAACCACCCTTATAATCACAACTCGATTTGCCTGCACCATCTTCAAGCTAGTCGCTCTCTCCCCACTCCCCCCCGCCTATCCAACCCTCCGTTATAATCACTTTATTGCAGGTAGTGGGCCGCATGTCCGCTCTTCATAGTCACGTCGCCTCTCTCTCCCAACACCCTTCCAATTGGTTTGCCCGCACCGACTTCAAGCTGGAGCCCTGTGATTGGCCGCCGGATCCCAGGATAGCGCGGGAGTGCAACGTACATGCGCTCTCAGTGCGGATAGTCAAGGTAAGGAATCGTTACAAAGGATATAAAGGTGCAACTAGAGTGGGTTCCTCCTTGTGATTGGCCGCCTGATCCCAGAATAGTGCGGGAGTGCAACGTGCACGGCCTATCAGTGCGGATAGTCAAGGTGAGGTTACCAGGTGCATTTCAAGGTTCTGGGGTTTAGAGTGGGGTTCCCGTTGTGGGTGGGTTTCATTGAGCGGCCGGAGCGGAGCGGGGCGGAGCGGAGCCCAGGAAGGATAACATGGGAGTGCACCGTGCACCGTGCACCGTGCACGCACCCTCGACCCTGCTTGCTCCCATCTTCACTCTGCCTGCCTCTCTTCCCTGTGCCTCTTTTCCTTCGCTTCTGGTTACATCTCAGGAGCTGGTAACCCTATGCCCCGTGGATCTCTCCCTCACAGCCAATCACGTGTCTGCAGAGGCGTTTCATCAACTCATGTTGCAAGGGAGAGTGGGGAATGCAGGAATGGAGAATGGGAAAGTGGAGAATGGAGAAATGGTGAATGGGGGAGTGGAGAATGGGGGAGTGGAGGGAGAGGAGGAATCAACGGGAGAGTGTGAGGAGGAGCAGGAGGAGAAGGAAGAAGGGCGTGTGCCACGTGGCATGGTGGTATTGGACACCAGGAACGTGTACGAGACGCGCATCGGACGATTCGTGCCGCCCAAAGGTGCTGCCAGTCGCTTCCTTGTTATGCCCATGTGTTCTGGCCTGGGGTCAGGTCATGTTTTATATTTCGAGTTGACTTTTGAGTCGACTCAAAAGTCAACCCATGTGTTCTGGGGTCATGTCATGTTTTATATTTCTGAGATTCTAGTTGTGATGCTTGGATTCTCTCTCTTGGGTGGACAGGCGCAAAGCAAGTTGACTTTTGAGTCGACTCAAAAGTCAACTTATTTCTGAGATTCTAGTTGTGAGGTATGTTCTGAGGTCATGTTTTGTTTCTCTCTCTTGGGTGGGCAGGCACAAAGCAAGGAGGATGCTGCATGCATGCCCCAGCCAGCTCCTCCTTTCCTCTGCTACTTGCTCTTGCACCGCACTGCACAACCCAAAACCTGACACCACCGCTCAGGTGTGGAATTCATCGATCCCTGTATCCGCCAGTTCAGCGATCTGCCGGCTTGGGTGGACAGACACGAGGCAAGGAGAGGATAACCCCATGGATGCACCCTTTCATCCTTTTCCTCTGCTACTCCCCGTTATGCCACACCCTTCCCCCCATCCTCAGGATTGACATTCATCGACCCCTGCATCTGCCAGTTCAGCGATCTACCGGCATGGGTGGACACGCACGAGGCAAGGGGGATACTGCATACATGCCCGATCCCCTCCTTTCCTCTGTCACTTCCCTTGCACCGCACAATCCCATACCTGACACCATCTCAGGAGTGACATTTATCGACCCCTGCATTCGCCAGTTCAGCGATCTACCCGCATGGGTGGACAGGCACGAAGACGAACTAAAAGACAAAACGGTGCTCATGTGAGTGCTGCTGCTGGTGCTGTGTCGGTAAGCAATTGCGTGTGGGTGGATGGTACAGTACAGGTGCAGTGCAACTCGGTTCAGCGATCTGCCGGCATGGGTGGACAGGCATGAGGAGAAGCTGAGAGACAAAACGGTGCTCATGTGAGTGCTGCTGCTGGTGCTGTGTTGCCTAGATAGATAAGCAACTGAAGCAAATTCGAGCAATGTGAATATGTGTGCAAGCTTATGGAGCTCCGCGGTACAAGCTGAGGGGAAAACCTGTGCGTACGTAAGTTGTGTGGTGTTTAGTTAAGCGTTTCCCCCATTCCCTCCCCCACTTCCCACCAGGTATTGCACAGGGGGGGTCCGCTGTGAGTCAGCCACGGCGTATCTCCGATCCAAGGGGCCTGGATTTCAAGACGTGGTGCAGGTCTGTGTATGTGCTCGGTTGTATGTGGTGCTGTGCGGTGCTGTGTGGTGCTGTGTGGTGCGGTGCAGTGCTGTGCGGGTATTGCACTGCACGGGAGGGGTCCGCTGTGAGTCAGCCACGGCTTACCTGCGATCCAAGGGTCCTGGCTTCCAGGACGTGGTGCAGGTGTGTGCTGTGCGGTGCAGTGCGGTGCTGTGCTGTGCCACGTGGTTCTGTGCTCTTTCTTATGAACAACAATTGTCAGCCACGGCCTACCTTGGATCCAAGGGGCCTGGCTTCCAAGACGTGGTGCAGGTGTGTGCTATGCGGTGCAGGTGTGTGCTATGCGGTGCAGGTGTGTGCTATGCAGTGCAGGTGTGTGCTATGCGGTGCATGTGGTGCTATGCGGTGCATGTGGTGCTATGCGGTGCATGTGGTGCTATGCGGTGCAGGTGTGTGCTATGCGGTGCAGGTGTGTGCTATGCGGTGCATGTGGTGCTATGCGGTGCAGGTGTGTGCTATGCGGTGCAGGTGTGTGCTATGCGGTGCATGTGGTGCTATGCGGTGCATGTGGTGCTATGCGGTGCATGTGGTGCTATGCGGTGCATGTGGTGCTATGCGGTGCATGTGGTGCTATGCGGTGCATGTGGTGCTATGCGGTGCAGGTGTGTGCTATGCGGTGCATGTGGTGCTATGCGGTGCATGTGGTGCTATGCGGTGCATGTGGTGCTATGCGGTGCATGTGGTGCTATGCGGTGCATGTGGTGCTATGCGGTGCAGGTGTGTGCTATGCGGTGCAGGTGTGTGCTATGCGGTGCATGTGGTGCTATGCGGTGCATGTGGTGCTATGCGGTGCATGTGGTGCTATGCGGTGCATGTGGTGCTATGCGGTGCATGTGGTGCTATGCGGTGCATGTGGTGCTATGCGGTGCAGGTGTGTGCTATGCGGTGCAGGTGTGTGCTATGCGGTGCATGTGGTGCTATGCGGTGCAGGTGTGTGCTATGCGGTGCAGGTGTGTGCTATGCGGTGCATGTGGTGCTATGCGGTGCATGTGGTGCTATGCGGTGCATGTGGTGCTATGCGGTGCATGTGGTGCTATGCGGTGCATGTGGTGCTATGCGGTGCATGTGGTGCTATGCGGTGCAGGTGTGTGCTATGCGGTGCATGTGGTGCTATGCGGTGCATGTGGTGCTATGCGGTGCATGTGGTGCTATGCGGTGCATGTGGTGCTATGCGGTGCATGTGGTGCTATGCGGTGCAGGTGTGTGCTATGCGGTGCAGGTGTGTGCTATGCGGTGCATGTGGTGCTATGCGGTGCATGTGGTGCTATGCGGTGCATGTGGTGCTATGCGGTGCATGTGGTGCTATGCGGTGCATGTGGTGCTATGCGGTGCATGTGGTGCTATGCGGTGCATGTGGTGCTATGCGGTGCATGTGGTGCTATGCGGTGCATGTGGTGCTATGCGGTGCATGTGGTGCTATGCGGTGCATGTGGTGCTATGCGGTGCATGTGGTGCTATGCGGTGCATGTGGTGCTATGCGGTGCAGGTGTGTGCTATGCGGTGCAGGTGTGTGCTATGCGGTGCATGTGGTGCTATGCGGTGCATGTGGTGCTATGCGGTGCATGTGGTGCTATGCGGTGCATGTGGTGCTATGCGGTGCATGTGGTGCTATGCGGTGCAGGTGTGTGCTATGCGGTGCATGTGGTGCTATGCGGTGCAGCTGGTGCTATGCGGTGCATGTGGTGCTATGCGGTGCATGTGGTGCTATGCGGTGCATGTGGTACTATGCGGTGCAGGTGTGTGCTATGCGGTGCATGTGGTGCTATGCGGTGCATGTGGTGCTATGCGGTGCATGTGGTGCTATGCGGTGCATGTGTGTGCTATGCGGTGCATGTGGTGCTATGCGGTGCATGTGGTGCTATGCGGTGCATGTGGTGCTATGCGGTGCATGTGGTGCTATGCTGTGCATGTGGTGCTATGCTGTGCATGTGGTGCTATGCGGTGCATGTGGTGCTGTGCTGTGCTGTGCTGTGCTGTGCTGTGCTGTGCTGAGCTGTGCCGTGCCGTGCCGTGCCGTGCCGTGCCGTGCCGTGCCGTGCCGTGCCGTGCCGTGCCGTGCCGTGCCGTGCCGTGCCGTGCCGTGCCATGCCTTGCTGTGCTGTGCGGTGCTGTGCTCTTCCATCCCATTCCATGCCTTGTTCGTTCCACCCAGTGCACTGTGCAGCTGTCAGGACGCTTTGTGCATTGTTTCAAGATTTTTCCGTGCCATGCCATGCCATCCATACCATATCATGCCTTGTTCCGCCATGCCCCATCCTTGCACCCCATGCATTGTGCAGCTGTCAGGGGGCATCGTGCGTTATCTCGAGGCGTTCCCAAATGGGGGTTTCTGCCGTCCATGCCATCCCATCCCATGCCACACTAGCCCATACCATATCATGCCTTGTTTCTTATGCCCTCTCTCTGTGTGTGTGCAGCTGTCAGGGGGCATCGTGCGTTATCTCGAGGCGTTCCCAGATGGGGGTTTCTTTCAGGGGAAGAACTTTGTCTTTGACCACCGGTGAGATTCGTTATCAGAATTCCCCAAAGAGATTACTTTATCAGTTGCCTCAGAACTCCCCTTGGAAGATTCTTTGACCATCAGTGGCCTTTGTCTTTCATGCCTTGTGAGTTGTGACTTGCTGTACCACCCCAGTTGTCAGATCAGCACTTTTCTCCTCGTTTGCCCCGCTCGCTCCCTCACTCCCTGCCCTCCCCCCTCTCAACCCACCTATTCCGAACCTCGCTCTCTTCCTATCCCTCTCCCCTCCCAGCCTGGCTGTGCCACCAGCAGCGCCGCAACAAGCAACGATTGGAGTGTGCTGTCTGTGCGTGAGGCCCTTTGATGACTACAGCGGGAGGAACCGCTGCGCTGCCTGCCGCATGCTGCTGCTGGTGTGCCCTACTTGTACTCAGACAGAGGTGAGACTACCAACAGGTATGACCATAGGGGTGTGCTGCCTGTGCATGAAGCCTTTTGACGACTACAGTGGGAGGAACCGCTGTGTTGCATGCCGCATGCTGCTGCTGGTCTGCCCGTCGTGTGCTGAGACACAGGTGAGAATGGGTACGAATGGGTATGAATGTGTGGTGGTTGGTTCAAGTGCTGCGTGTTCACAAATCCGTTTGACGCCTACTGCGGGAGGAACCGCTGCGCTGCATGCCGCATGCTGCTGCTGGTGTGCCCTGCTTGTACTCAGACACAGGTGAGACTACCAACAGGTATGACCATAGGGGTGTGCTGCCTGTGTGCCAAGCCGTTTGACGACTACAGCGGGAGGAACCGTTGCACTGCCTGCCGCATGCTGCATGCTGCTGCTCGTGTGCCCTACGTGTGCTGAGAAACAGGTGAGAATGTGTCTCCTTAATCTTACCCGCTCTGCCCCTTTCCCCCCTCCGTTTTTTTCCTTTTCAGACCGATGTCCTGTGTGAAATCTGCCAGAAAGGAGGTTGCTCAGTGGAAGGGGAGAAGGCAGGAGATAAAGAAAGACCACAGCAGCAATATCGCCAGAGACGCAAGGACCAAGCACAGGGGCAGGAGCATGGGCAGGGGAAGGAGCAGCAGGAGGAGCAACAGCAGGAGCAGGGGCTGGGGCAGGGGCAGGAGCAGGGGCTGGGGCAGGGGCAGGAGCAGGGGCAGGAGGATCAAAAGCAGCAGACACAGCAGCAGAAACAGCAGCAGCAGCAGCAGTTACGACAGCACCTTTCCCCTTCACCTGTAACCCTGGTAGGTGGTCTCTGAGTCGTTTCAAGGGCTATTTCAAGGGCTATTTGAAACACACTTGCTGGGTTTGTTCGAATACTTCAAGTCCTTGTTTTTGTCCCACAACAATATCTCAATCTCTCAGAGCAAAAATCTTGAGCCGCCTAAAATATCTCTCCGCTTTTGGCATAAGGTTTGTCTCGGACTCGGGCATCTCTTGCCTAGTAATTTCTGCTGCCTTTTTTTCTTCGCCTCGGTATCGACTGATTATTGACGTGCGTCTCTTCTTGAATTTCGACCTGGCGTGTATACGACTGGCATGGCATGCACTGCTGTGGTTCAATGTGTGTGCAGTGTGCACCCTCCACTGCATATTGTGGCGTGTCTATGCTTTGGAAGCAGCCTGGCTGTACTGGTGGCATTGCTAGTGTGACTCCCTCAGCAGCTGCCACTGCTGCTGCTGCTGCCACCACTGCCACCACTTCTGGCACTGATGCCCCCACTACAACAGCAGTTCCACCAACAGCAACTGTCATGGCCGCCAACACTGCCACAACCGCCAGCAACAGCATCAACGACAGCAGCAACAGCAGCAGGAGTAGCAACAGCAGCGAGAGTTCAAGATCAAAAGCTCGCATTCTTTGTCTTCATGGATTCAGACAAAACGCGTCGTCCTTTTCTGGCCGCACGAGGGCGCTGCAGCGAAAGCTCAAGTCGGTGGCAGAGTTTGTCTTTATTGACGCCCCACATGCCCTCGCACATGTTGTGACATCCTCAGGTGCTCCTCTGTATGTTCCTTCAGGTGATCCTTCAGGTGCCTCGTCAGGTGGCACTGTAGCTGCCCCTTCACCTGCCCCTTCACCTGCCCCTTCACCTACTTCTCCTCTAGCTTCTCAACCTCCTCGAACCAAGTTCGCCTGGCTGACAGGACCCATTGACCTCGCCCTCCAAGCACCCTCCTTAAAAGCACCCTCCCTTCAAGAACGCTCCTATCAAGCAATCTCCATCCCCACGCTCCCCTTCTCACCACCTCCTCCTCACCCCACCACCACAACAAGTTCCCTCACCCTGTCCCAGCACCAGACTCACTTGACTTTTGAGGTGCCTCAAAAGCAACCTCCTTCTCTTCACCCCACCAACACAAAAAGTTCTCTCACCCTGCCCCAGCACCAGACTCACTTGTTTTGCACTCCTTCCACCAGCAGCCTTGCTGGCCAACTGCCAGCTGGCAGCACCAGCGAGGTGCCAGGTGTCACAGTTTTGCCAGCTGTCGCTGATGCGATCCCAGCTCACACAGCAGGGCCACATGTGCTGCCAGCTGGCAAATTCCCTGCTGACCAGTTGGACGGGCAGGTGTACGGCTGGGCGGCGAGTTTGTCCTATCTGAGAGAGGTGGTATCTGAGCTGGGTCCGTTTGACGGGGTGTTGGGATTCTCCCAAGGTGCTGCCGTGGCTGCTGCTGTTGCTGCCTTGGCTAGTAAAGAAAGGGAAGAGGCTCATATTTTGGCTTGTAAGGAAAGTGTAGAAGCGGGTGCATTGTCCAGTTGGAAGGAGGGGACAGTGGATGGAGAAAAGACAGAGCAGAGAACAGAGGGCAGTGAGAACGGCAAGTGTGCGGGGAGTCAGGGAGCAGTTGGGGAACGGAAAGTGTGGGGAGGCATTCGGTTTGCAATTCTTTGCTCTGGGTATTTGGCAGCAAGAGAAGCCCATCCGTTTATGCATGAGTTGATGGAGAACAGCGAGGTGGTAAAGTTGCCGTCGTTACACGTCTTTGGAGCGAACAAATGTTACAAGGATGCAGATGTTACCAACGTGCCTACCAGTACCTTTGAAAGTCACGATCGTCAAGTAACCCAGCAGCGGAGTGAGGAATTTGTTTCATTATTTGATGCTGGTTCTCGGACGGTGTTACGCCATGCTTGTGGACATATTATCCCTGCGGACGCTGCAACCATTAGCTCAATTAAGGATTTCATAATGAGACATCGTAACTGATGTAGGTGTGGCTGTATAATTACTGGCTGAATATTTTCTAGGTCTACACTTTTCATGATAATGTAGTAGGGAGTACCTATATATGTGTTACGGGTGCAATGAATCGAAGTAGCGAGAATTGCACTAAAGTGTCAAACGAGTACCAAGATGTGAGCGAAGGCATGAGCGAACATTTATATGCGAAGCATGCAAACGGTAACGCGGTGCGTGCGAGCTAGCCAGTGCTATGCTGGCAGCGAGGCTCGGGCTAGTCCCGAAGCGTAGGCCGACACGGCCGGGCCAGCAGTGCGAGGTTTGGTGAAACAGTGCGCGCGAAGTCGGCGAAGTTCCGTTAGCAGTAACGGGCGAACAACGGCTGTTGCTGTACGCGATGTAGTCGGGCTCCGTAAGGAATGCCGAGAAAATTCCTTACACTACCCCCCCCCCTCAAGAAGCCCCCTCCGCTACGCGAGTGCGTGTATGTCGCGGAATCCCCGGCTCCTCAGGTACACTTGCAGGGCAGGGTGGTTTTCAATGTTGGCCAGGGGCACCCAGCTATCCTCAGTTGGCGTGCGGTCCTTCCAGCGAACGAGGAATTCAATCCTCCTGATTCCCGTGGGGTGTCGAATCCGATGGCTCAGGATTTTTTCGGGCTCGATGATCGGCTCTGATGCAGGGCGAGTCATGGATGGCGGGCGGTGGCGAGGCAATTGGCTTGTGGTTGGGATGTATGGGCGAAGCAAGCTGACGTGGAACGAAGGGCTGATGTACCAGTCGGTCGGTAACAGTAGGTGCGCGGTTACTGGCGTGATCATGTGGCTGATTTGGAATGGGCCACAGTAGCGCGGTCGCAGTTTTGGTACGTCGGGCAGTCGCAGGTTTTGCGTGTCGAGCAGTACGTAATCCCCTGACTGGTAGGTGACGGGTCGGCGGTGGCGGTCGGCGTTGCGCTTAGCGATGACATTTGCTTTTTTAATTGCTTCTGCAGCTCTGGTGCGGGCAGCTTGCAGAATTTTGGCGAATTGTTGTGCACGTGGTGTCGGATTGTCCGGACTCGGCGTCATAGGATTTTGCCCGTAGTTCAGGTAGAAGGGGGACTGCTGCGTCGTCGCTGACGTGGCGTTGTTGTACGCGAACTCGATCAGCGGCAGCTGCTGTTCCCAAGTCGTGGGGTCGTCGCACGTGGCACGAATCAACTGCTCCATCGTCTGATTCGTCCGCTCCGTTTGGCCGTCGGTCTCGGGGTGGTACGACGAACTGAACTGTAGCCTGGTCCCGAACTGCTCCCAGAGGTTTTTCCAGAAGTTGCTGGTAAACTTCGTGTCCGGTATCCCGTGCAGGCGAACAACGGCTGCGATGAACAGACGAGCGGTCTCCTCGGCTGAGATCGACTTTTTGCACGCAGCGAAGTGTGCCATCTTCGTCAGCCTGTCAACGACGACCATCACCGCGTCGTTACCCCCAGGGTTTGAAGGTAACCCTGTGACGAAGTCCATGGTAACCTGCTGCGAGGCGCGCTCGGGCGGTGGTATCGGCTGCAATTGACCCGCCTTCCGCTTCCTCGAGCTCTTCATCACCTGATACGTGGGGCACGAGCCCACGTGCTGCTGTACGTCGGTCAACAGCTCCGGCCAGTAATAATACCGCTGCAGTTGCTGTCGCGTTTTTTCTACCCCAAAGTGTCCCGAGGTAATTCCGTCGTGTGCCTCCTGCAGTAGCAGCTCCCTCAGTAGTGAGTACGCAGGTACCCAGATGCGGTTGGTGCCTGTTTTTACGTAATAAACTCCTTTAGCTTCTGCCAGTTGCTGTGAGTTTCCAGTCGTGAAAAATGGGTCGGTGCGGTATCCGTGGGTGAATAGGCCTGTTAACAGCGGGTTGGTCTGGGCGAGTAGGATGGCGTGGAGTTGGGCGGTAGGGCGGGTGAGTGCGTCGGCGATGTTGGATGCGCCTTTCTTGTACGTAACCGTGTAGTGGAAGTTGGACTCGAGGTAGTCCAGCCAGCGAATTTGTCGCGGATTGAGATTTGGTTGGGCGCGTAAGTACTGTAGTGATCGGTGGTCTGTCCGTACTGTCACGTCGGCGCCAGTCAGGTAACACCGCCAAACCTTGAACGCGTGCACGATCGCCAACATTTCGCGGTCGTGTATCGGGTAGTTGCGTTCGGGCGGGTGCAGTTTGCGGGACTCGTACGCGATTGGCTGGAGGCCGTTCCCGAAATCCTGCAACAGTACTGCTCCCACAGCGA